CACTCAACCCAGGACAGCCTCTGAGCAGTTATACTTACTACATGACATGGAAACCAGGTTGTTTTTTTGGTTTGGTTTTGGAGGACTTGGTGTGGTTTGTTGGTTGTTTTTTTAATTAGCTCAAACTGTATGACTTCAGGGGGAAAATGGACACATTTTTCCTTCATACCTTTTACTTGACTAAAATACAAGTCTTTCCAAATTTGGTCAATATTTTTGTGTTCTACAGCATAGTTCTTTCATCATCTCTAGTCCAATTTAAAGAAAATTACTCATTACTTTCATCTTTAATACTGTATGTACTTTTAAAATTTTGTGATCTTGTCTAAGAACCACAGGATAAGAAATACCATCCTTCAGCAAGCCCTCCAAGTTGGATTATCCTGGAAACAGGTAAAAATAGGGTGTATACAAAGGCTATGTAGTCCTCTGCTAAACCACGATTACTCTGCCAAGCTATGTCTTCTAGGTCAAATATGCATGAGATGTTTCAAGAGAGAATAGCACATTCTGATGTACATTATGCCACTCCTAGTCAAGTAACATTAAATAATGGAATACACAAAAGAATCATATATTTTTAACTACTAAAAATTCTCATAACTTACTTGGTAAATGAGGTCCATGTTTTACATGTCATGTAAAGTTTGACAGCTTGCTGACCACTACCACATATCTTCCTCATCCTCAATACATGAAGTTGAAAGAATTAAATGTAATCAGTATGCAGGTTTTGGATTTTTTTAAATATGGCATTACTGAGAAGTTGTGCTTCCATATGATCTCCCTTTTAAACTTGTCTTTATGAAGTGATAGTAAAAGTAAGGTCATAATTGTTTTCTCCACTTTCACTGCAGATCCATTGATCTGGTTTTCTGCCTCCTTCTATGGAAGTCTGAATAGCAAAAGAGACAAATCACTTAGACATCTTTAAACAGCTGCCATAAGAAAGCTGATTTTCATTTCACTTTGATAGGGGTGGGCAAGTCTATGTGGGTAACCAAAACATTTTCCCCCAGATACCTAGCTGTTACTGGAATGTCAGGCTTTAGGTATGTTTGTGATAGAGTGAGTATTAGAGGAATTACCTGAACACAACATACCCTCCTTTCTGTGTCAGCAGTCTTTTCACCCAGTGCTGGAGATTGATTGAACAAGAAAATAAAAGCAGCCCAGTAAGACTATAAAACCTGAGGAGCTGCAGATGTGGATGGAATATAGATGGACTAAATTGTGAATCTGTTAGGCTTCTACTATGGCAATGGCCTATTTCTTTAAAAATGACTTAATCTTATATTTAGCTACTATGGGTGTAGTAAGAATTCTAAAAAATTATCAATATCTAAATAAATTGCTATATTTCTCTGGTTTTGAACACATTAATAGAACATTTGCCTTTGTACCATTTAAAATATTTTTAAATCATGGTATAATTGTTTTATCACACAGTTCACAAGTGGTATCATAAAAATAGACCTTAGAAAATAACATGCAATTGATTTCATTAGTTTCCTATTTACAATTTTTTTGACAATAGAATTTAATAATCTGGTTTATTATTTTAAATTTTATATTATTTTCTCCAGTTATTAATTTTTGCATTGCAGGTTGTTGATGACCTGTAAATACTCACAACTTGCAGTAGATGGAAATTCTCTCAAATTTGGTAGTAACATCAGTTAATGTTCACTCTTTTCCTGGACAGATCACACCGTTTCATCAGTTTAGTCATGTAACAAACCAACCAAACCCAACTTTCAAGAGTCCTAGCAGTCTACTGAGGAAATGGAAGTGAAAAATAAAGTTTAGAATTATAATCAAAAGAAAAAATATACAGCTATGACTGCAAAAGGAGAATGATCAGAAAAACAAGTTACTAGGTGAAGAATAAAAGAGACATTGAAGTCAATGGCTAGAAGGAAGTTTTCAGTTACAGGATTTACTTGTGATTAAGAGACATAGAAATGGCCTAAGAGAAACCTCATAAAGTTCAACCAGGTTCAACAAGTTCAAAGTCCTGAATCTGGGATGGAATAATCCTACGTACCAGTACTGGCTGGGGGCTGTCAAGCTGGTAGCAGTGTCTAATTGCTGCCTTCAGCTACCTATGGGATGACTGCAGAGAATATGGAGCCAGACTCTCCTCAGAATTGCATAATGAAAGCCCAAAAGGCAATAAACACAAATTGCAGCAACTGAAATTCCAATCAGACATAAGGAAAAAAAAAAAAAAAAAAAAATCATCACTATGCAGGTAGTGCTGGTAGAGGTGTTTTTTCCAGAGTGGTTGTGGAATCTTCCACCTTGGAGGTATTCAAACCTTGCCTGGTCATTGCCCTGAACAGCCTGATTTAATTGCAGTTAGCCCTGACTTGAGCAGGAGGTTGAACCAGATGACTTTCATAGGTCCCTTCCAGCATAAACTTCTCCGCCTCTATAATTCATGATAAATGGTAAGCTAGCACTGACACAGTGTTGAAGACTGACCTCCTCATTTTGAAGATTTACAAATGAATGTCTGAAATCATGGGTTCTTATATTCTTCTTTAGCCAGCTCATAGTAGTTCAGACTATAACATGTTACAAACAAATTAATGAAAGAGCTCACTCTTAATTACTATCAGCTCAGTGTTGAGGGCTTGCCTATTAGTTATTGCCATGACCTTGCTGCTGGATGGAACAAATTAGCAAATGAGTTCATTTGTAGGAGTCACAGTTCCAACTGGAGACTACCCATACTAAGTTATGTCCTCGGCCAGACTGTAATAAATGTATATGAGTACATATACAATTTAACTAACATGCAAGGTGATAGTAGAAGAACTGAACTGTAAATGCCCACAACTTTTACTTCTCCTGTTAATTGCTTCAGCATTTGAGCATAAAGTCAGAATTTAAAATGCAGTGACATCTTTGGGTAACTGTGTTTATCTTTTACTAGTGATATACAATGTCAATGATACAAATAGTTAAATTATGAAAAATATGACAGAGAAATCCAAAGTCCATCTGAACAAAACTCCTCAGATTTGTGACAGAAATTGTCTGATTAGGAATAAGGTAGAAATAAACTAGTATTGTTTCATGCAGCATGGATGATTACAGTGAGTGAACCTTGGCTGGCTGCCACATGCACACCCAGCCACTTCCTCACTTCCCCTCCTCAATAGGACTGGGAGGAGAAAATAGGAAAGCTCATGGGTCAAGATAAAGACAGGGGTAAAGATAAAGACTCACCGATTACCATCACATGCAAAAAAGCCTTGGGGAAAAGTAATTTAATTTATTGCCATCCCCACATACTGCAGGGGATGGGAACTAGGAAGCTGTGGTCGCTCCGTAACAGCTCTTCTCTGCTACTCCGTCCTCCTCACATTCCCGCCCTGGTCCAGTGTGCATCCTTCCCACAGGTTGCAGTTTTTCAGTATAAACCTGCTCCAGTGTGGGCTCTCCAGAGGCTGCAGTTCTTTAAAAAAATATCCACCTACTCCATCTAGCATGATGTCCTCTACGGCTGCAGTGTGGATACCTGCACCACCACGGTCTCTCCATGGGGTGCGGGGGATCCCTGATGGGGCACCTGGATCACCTCCCCTTCCTCCTCCCCCCTGGAGCTCTCAGGGCCGTTCCTCACCCTTCTCCCCTCCCAGCCGGGCACCGTTCTGCCCTCCCTCCCCCGTGCCCTGCGGTGGGTGGGTTGGAGCCGGCTGGAACCGGCTGTGTCCGGCCCGGGGCGGCCCCGGCCTCCCCTCACAGCCCCCGCCCGCCAGCCCCGTCCAACTATCATGTAATTAGGTAATTCTGCTAGATGTGGAATGACCTAACATGTATAACCGAGCAAAGTGATGTATTTAGAGGTATTCTGAACTTCTGTGATAGAATGAATGTTCAGAAAAATATAGAAACTTAAAACCCTTGTAATAAAGTGTATTAAAATTATTGCTGAATAATCAGAAATAGTCACAGAGATACTACTGTGCCACAGTTCAGCAAAGTGTTCAGCAGTACAAATTTAATCTGCTCTTATATGCACATAAGTTTATATATAAATACACACACATTTATATTCATATATGTATGTGTCACACAAGATACACAAAACCAATTCTTACTGTAATTCATCTAGCATGATGACTCAAAGATCTCATCCAAATTGCAGGATATAGACTGAATTTACTTTTGCTCTGTAAGAACAATATAATTAAACTGCCCTTAATTCTGTTTTTAAAACTTTGGGTTTAAGTTATTATAAATTGCTAATAATGGGAAACACTACTAAATTCTTTCATTGTGTTGTGATAATACACTAAATCAAGGATGTTAATGTCAGGCCAAGGTTTTCATTGAGATATAGAATGCTTTAAATCTGATCAGCTGTGTTGCAGATGTTTTCAAATATCCCAGTTCTCAAAGACTGAGCAGAGAATTGTCATATCATCAAAGAGTCTTATTTTGAGCCTCTACAGCTGATACACCATTCAGTGCTGAACACATTACTAAACTATGTCACACTACTAAATAACTCATTTGCCAGCATTTCCTATCTATATAAAAACATTTCTAAAGCAACTTTTTAAGCAGAATGATGAAAGATATGGCTTTCACTGCTGTCCTCATAACCACACCTGTGAAGAATTACCAAAAAAACTCCACAAGCAGTAAATATGACAATAGTATTTTATATTAATTTTCACTTAAAAATATTAAATGACAAGAAACAGTGCAAATCTAGTGACCAACCTTATATTTCTGTGGTTTTGTTTGTTCTTTATCTAAGACATAAACTTAAGTGCTTCCTTTCTGAAAACAGTTCTTCATATTTGCATATCTTGTTCATTAATATGACTGTTCAGGAATGTTGTAAAAACCTATGTTAATGAAGTTTTATGGTGTAATTAATTTACAAGCATCTCCTATAAATATATGTTCGTGTGGATTACTATCCTTTTCAGGTTGTGTCTTTTGTCAGTCCTCAATTCATACAAGCTTTCAAGACAGAAATGAAGCTGAAAAAATCACCTGATAAAAAATATCTTCCTCTTAGTTACTATGAAATTCTGTTTGCTTCTCTGCTTGCAGTTTTTGTGTGTGTGTGTGTTGGACTGATTGTACTTTCATGGTTATCAATTCAGGAGTTAGAAGGAGGTAAGTAGCTAACCTTTAGCCTTTTCAGGAGTTTTTCAATAGATGTTCAGACTTCAAAGCCAGTGGTGTTGTCATTATATTTATTTTTCATATTGCATTCTATGCTTTTAATGCTGGGGAGAGAAGGTTGGGGAATGTATATTTTCCTCCTCTCCTCCCCTGGGAATTGATGTGAACAAAATAGGCAAAAATACAGGCACTTAAAGCATGTCCTGAAGCCATAGAAAATAATTTTCATGGTTTAGACTTTGTGAGAGGTCCCTGGAATGCAATCCAAACTATAAAACTTTGTTTATTCAGTTGGATTCATCAACTAGAGAAGATGATATTGCAAATTGTGAATTTTTGTTATTTTCTCCATGTATGAGGTTTGACTCGGAAAGATATTGATAATCCACCAAAGTCTGTTGGGAGATTTAGGTGTTCTACAACTCTTGGAATCTTTTCATTTTTATTAAAAAAAAGTTTAAAAGTCATTTATTGATGTGAGACAGATCATGCACTGGACAGTCAGCTCCCAGCCCTATGTAAAGTTAAGGTAAAGTCATTCTCAATATTTAGCCAATGCTCAGAATGTGTTAGAATCAAGCTACTGTTACTCAAAGTAAATTAAATTTAAAAATTGATGTAGGATGACATTCAAATGGAACTGAAATTTTCATTTAAAGATCTTGTGGATATATATTAACTGTGCTCTGGTAAGTCCACACCTGGACTACTGCGTCCAGTTCTGGGCTCCCCAGTACATGAGAGATATGGAGCTACTGGAGAGAGTCCAGTGAAGGACTGGTGAGACTGTGGAGTCTCCATTCTTGGAGATATTCAAAAGCTGTGTGGACATGATCCTGACCAACTGTCAGTAGGTGGCCCTGCTTGAGCAGCGGGGTTGGACCAGTTGACCTCCAGAGCTCTCTTCTAACCTCAACCCTTCTGTGATCTGCTTTTTTGATTTAGGTCTATGAAGCCATCACTGCTAATAACAAAATGATATTTTGAAATGGGATGAAGGAACCAAGTTAGGCAAAAGGTTCAAGAAATATATTTTTTCATTATAGTGGTTTTTGTAGCTGAAAAAATAATTCTAATACATTGACATTTTTGGTGCCTTCTTTAACCGGAAGTCTATACTATTTTATACTGAAGCACATGAAAACTAAACTAGATTTAAGTCATATTAAAAAAAAAAAAAAAAAAAAACACAAAACTGTTTTTTCATAATATTCATGTTTATTCCTTTAGTTGATATTGTTTTTCATTCCAGATTTTAAAACTTCTTCTCCCTACTGACTTTCTTCTCCTCTTACTAGAATACTATGACATTCCAGTAAAATGAAATGAGCTTAAAGGTCATGATGGTGTATTACTGCATGTACAGAAAGGCTTTAAATGAATGACTGAAGTTTTAGGAGATGAACAGGCAAGAATTTAACCATATACAAATAATAATAATAAACCATTTTTTAAAAATTATATTATATATATTTCTAAAAAAGGCCTTTGATATTTAGAAACACTGGCACAAAGCAGTCTTCTGTTACTAGTTGATAGTAACAAATTGAATTTTATTTTTAAATACCTAGCTGAAGCAGACAGGCATATTCATGGCTACATGGGAACATTTAAAATACTCTCTGGGACATCATTCACTCCTGCTTTGCAAAACAGATCATCAGCTGATTTCAAAGTCCTTGCCTTTGATGTTGAACAACTGGTAAGAACCTACTGGTGTCTGGTTAATTCAAGAGTATTTTGTAGGTACAGTAATTCCCTAACATGACAGGGTGATGATGGCTTTTTCCTCTCTCCAAAATGAGATATTTCAGGTCCTAAGCAAAGTCAGAACTCAATATATTCTTATTTGTGAAAATCAGTAAAGTATCAAAGAAAACATTTGCTTCTACAGTCTAAATTTGGGAAGGAAAAATTGTTTAGTATTAAAAACCATGAATGCAGTGTGCAACTGGGTACATTTTTAATTACTGTATTGGTTCAAGGTTTCTCTTTTCCATATAGATACAAAAAGTCTTTCAAGCAAGTGATCTGAAAAACAAATTTGAGAGATGTGAAATTTCCCAGTTCAAGTAGGTACAATTTAATTAAACTTTGTAAATAAATGTCAAAAGTTCTCACTTAGCTATTTCTCTCAGTAGTGCTTACCAATACCTTGCCTTTCAAGAGATCCTTGGGAACATCCTATGTTATTCCTTTCACATCTCATGGCTTCCAAGTGCTGCTGTGGGAAATTTGATACAAGTGTGTTTCTTTGGACAAACTTCCTTCCTGGACTCCTGTATGTCCACTCCTTGACCAAACCAGTAAGGCTGAGGCCTAAGACCAACTCACAAAACTTCTTTATTTTAATAAGTTGTTTAATTATTTTTTTTTCCACAAGGTTTATTAGTTATGCTATGTTTGCAGAGTTTCTGGCCCTTGTCATCTACAGGAAAGTTCAGGTTAGAGATCTGCTGGCATAAACTGAGATGAATGGAAATACACTCATATGTCCATATGGACATGGATCCACTTAACTCATATTCCTTATGGTGTTAGCAAGTGAGGCTGTTGTTTGACATCAGGTAAAGCTGCACCCTGTGTGTCCTAAAAAGTCCATAAAACAGGTACAATAAGACCTGCTTCATTTATGAAAGCTTGTTTGACCCCACTTTTTCAATAACCTATTATGCTGGTTGTCCTACCGAAGGCCAGCTGGCAAAAAAAGTCCAGTATATGCAGTGAGGTCCATAGCATTAATTCTATCTGCACTGTTCTTAATAAAGTCCTGATTCATCAAAACACATGCAATACTGTCTCCCATTATTGAACAGCTTCAGAATATGCTTCCATGTATCCACACCATTATAAACTCACAGGGAATCATATACTGTTCTGTTGTGTTTTTATTGTTTTTATTCTACAGGAAATCTGAAGATGGCTGTGAAAGATTCAAGGAATCAGAGACTGGGTAATTGCATATGACAAAGTTTACTTAAAATATGGTCAAGAGACAATTAAGTTATTAATTTAGAAAGTTCTTCTGTAGACAGTGAATAGATGAAAAAAATACATCTTTAGAGAGTGGATAGGGCCCTCTAAAGAGCCTATCTTTTCTTCAAAAACATCCTTCATGATCAGAAGAAAAAAAAATGTAATAATTCATGGGACTGTCAGTTTAGAAAGAAAAATTGAAAAGGTAAGGACAGTGAAGTAGGTAGAAAACTAGCTAGAAAGGAAAGGATATCTGTGTTGAGCTTGCTTGTGGAAAGCTACCTAGACTGTGGGGTAGATCTCACATTATCACTGGTAACAAGTTTTAAATAACTGTCTGATGGCACACTATGATAGGCAAGAACAAAACAGAAGACAAAAGATTAAGAATCTAGAAGAACTGGAAGACCTTGAGAAATGAGTGACATAACTAGTTGTCTTATAGATGAGACCACAAAATTAAAGTGCACATTACATGACAACAGATAATGCAATTTTGTGATTCTGTGATACCAGCTGTTCTTGTAATATAAATGCTTTCTGTAAATACACAAATTGGATAAATATTCAGAGGACATAGTTCAGCTGAATGACTGTGCCTGCAAAAGACAAATGGGTATTAGCCATCCATGAATACATGCATGTTGAAAATGGGAAGCAGATTTGAATTAGAGCAATCTTTTCATTGGAATACTGAGGACATGAATCTAATTAGCTAGAAAGGTGGTGTATGATCACTTTATGAGAGATTTTATAACATCAAGGGAATAGAGGACACAGTGGTAGGAGTAAGTCACTTCCAGGTTTTTGTCCTTGTGAAGGTAGATCCAATTTGGTTTCTGCACATAGAAAGGGACTATTCTTATCAAAATTTGGGCATCAAAGATGGAGACATCTCTGAGCTAGTTGCTCAAGACTGTCTTTGTAAATCATGGGTTTTTAAGAGTTTTCTCATCTGATCAATTTAGATGACTTTTCTTAGGAGGACATAAATTATGCCAGCTTATTTCTTTCCATCAACTACAATGGAAATCTGGGTGTCTGCACTGCAAACATCTGTGTTTGGTAAAACCAATTTCACTCCTGTATCTTGACACAAATACCATGGAAATCATAGAAAATCTGATGTCAGTGAATGTTGCATCTGGCTTTTAATACATCAGTAAGGATCTGTCTTCATTTCTGCTTTGAAATAATACTTGAAATATTACTTTGTCTCAGAAATTATTTTCTAGTTGACTGTTGTCATTTAAAAAGTGTCTACTTGTTTGGGCAATTGCCGTGCTATTTCACCCTTGAAACTCTGCTGAGTCACAAGGATAGTAATAAAAGCTTTTGTTTGTTCAGCATGGCCTAGAGGTTATCAGAAACATGTAAGAAATTAAAGAGGAGAGTTTTTCTATATATCGCAAACTGCAAACTATGCTCAGCAAAACGGCAGGATTAATTGCCCCTTATCGAAAAGCTCTACTGAGTCAGTTGCAATTGGGTAGTATAAATGATTACAAATAAAAAAGTTTACACTTAACTTTAAGTAAATGGAGAAAAACTTTTATCTTTTCCAAGCATCATACTTTGACACCACCTTAATCTAGCTACAAATATAAAAATTAATAATAGTATCTAAAAGGGATGGGAGACAGTAAACAGAAAACACTCTAGATAAAATTCAGGCCCCATGCATATTAAATGTATTTTAACCACTGATTTCAAAATATCTGTGCTTTCAGCCATTACTGCTTCCTTATGAGAATCCAGGCAGTCACACAGCAGATCCTCACAGATGATGTTTGTTTTATATAAGTGATCACTTTGTATTATATTTTTGTAACATGAATATATGATATAATTTTCATAACACTTCAAGGTCCACCATCAATATTTTACAGCTTAAACTAGAAGAACTGTTGAATAACAATAAACCTACTTCTCCTTTTGTTTATACAAATTCAGCTCCACTGCAGCAATTGATATGAATGTTATTTTATTTTTTACCACAGTGAAAAAAGCATAAAGAAAAAAGAAAACTGTTTCTCCAAAGTTCAAACCTATTTGATAATTAAGAGGTGTTTCTTCATGTGTCGTCTTTGCCAGCCAACACTTAAAGATACTCTGAATTTGAAAATGGAACCTGTGTTGAAATGAAGTATTGTGTAGATGATAAGTCATATAGCAGATTTACTTCATTAGCTTGCATAACTAATCACCTTCTCTGTTTTCTATTGCTAGTGTTGTTGTGATCTTCAACCTTTATTTTACCCAGATGGTAACAGCTGAGAAAGTAAAAAATGAGTTGATTTTGGGTATCAACACAAATAAAGCTAATTTTACCCAGACTTTGAAAATTGATGTGAACAGCATACAAGTCACAGGTAATGCTAGTAAACATTTTTTTCTCTGTATAAATCATTGAGAATGACAGGTAACATGAATGAAAATCTGGCACCCCAACAACAAAAGGATTGCTACTTACAGTCATGGGTTCCCTCCTTCCCCATGCAGAACTTTCAGCAACAGATCAAAAAAAACATTTACAACCTTGTTGAGTGAGCATTATGTATATTCACTAAGGAGGGAGTAAAGGACAAAGTAGTCATTTCCTGGTGAAAACCACTCAATTTTTATTTTGTGTAGCATAACACCTGTAATTTAATTATCCCTCAAATTAAAGCAGATAAGCCCCAACTGTGTTGTTTCATTAGTAAATGCAATTATCATTCTGTATGATAAATAATAAGGAAAAGGGCTCAGCCTCACAGTGAGTGAAGACTCATTGATTGAAAAGATGTCAGTAAGAACAACAAACTGAATGCATAGTGTGGCTTCTGGAGAAATATGCACAAGGAACTGACTTCATATTCCTCTAAAGCTTAGGTAAAGTGTAAATGGGAAAAAAAGGAATGTGGCTTTAAAGATTAGGTAGTTTTAATTTCTGCAAATATACCAATATAGTGATTTTATGTAAGTACTAGAAAAATTATCAAAGCCTAAGTGGAAGCCCAACAAGATCAGTGGGAATCCTTGTTTTTACCTCAATAATCTTCAAAACAGACTGTCACTGAGGATGAGGATAAAAACTTATTTGAAACCTTTGAAGTGGAGGTTGATTAGCTGACATTTGAAGACCTGCTGGAGATACTATTAAGTAGAAACTGATTGCTTTAAGAAGAGTGGGACATCTGGTGTGCAATGTCTCTTACTCTATTCTAAAAGGTGAATTTTTTGATAAGTACCTCAGATATTCAAAGGCTAAATTCAGAGTCTTGACATCTTTATTTCTCTTTAGTACTTGCACCACATATAAGAAGTTGTTCTAAATAACTGCACATCACTGTGGAAAGTGATTGCTCATTATACTTCAAAAATGCCACCAACTAAAATTATGAAGAGCTTTTTAAAAAGTTGTATATTTATTGATGAACTTCGAAGTAGTCAAACTTTTCTTGCTGTGGATCATTAAAATGCCTCTTTTCACACAAGATATCATCCGTCCATTCCATCAGGGGTGCTTCAATAAAATAACAACTGCAACTAATTAACAATCATAATCATATCTGGCACTTTTGCATCCTTTATATCAGTATGTTCTGCAAGAGAAGTCTTACTCCTGTTTCAGAAAGGGCGGGAACTATAGCACAGGTGTGACTTGCTTAAAATCACAGTTTTCACAGTGATTAAAAGTAACTTTCTTGCAAATTATCTTGGGTTAATTTTAACTCATTTATCTGGTCTAAATGCTGTTCTATAAGACACAGGTGCTCTGAAAAGCTCCTCAGTGCAAAAAGTGTCAAGACAGAGCTCTTCCAGATGAAGACATTTTATATGCAGTACAACTAATTGAGGGTTGAAAGGGATTAATATAGACCATTCCTCCTTAGAAAGATCATAGAGTTTGAGAAAAGTCTGGGAACAGGGTAAGATGGTTAAAAGGAGGGAAGCAGGACACTGCTAGAGATTCAAAGAGAAATAGTCACAGCTGATTTTTTTTTTTTAACCTTTCTTTCTCTGAGTTGTATAAAATTAGATACTGTGCTATAAAAGGAGTTTATAATGAACTTGCTTTCTTCCAGCAGGTACTGAAAGTCTTACTACAGTGATGCCTATAACTTCATCAGGTCAGTATCTTTAATAAAACAGAAACTATTTTTTGCTACCAACACAACATGACAAAACATAAGACTTGCTGATCAGTTGATATAACTTAATAAAGCTGCCTTGACCGTAGTTGAGGCTTCACTTCTAGGGTCTATTCAGTGATAGCCACCTTTCATCATTTCTGAGCTCTTGAGAAAGCAGCGATCTGAAGTCTTTACAAAAGCTCTAAGCGATTAATTAGTGGATCACAACAAAAATTGAGTATCCATCAACCAGCTGAGTTGAAAGCTGAATTTTCTGCAGATTTAGGCAGGTAGATGAAGATGAGGTGTTCTACTCTCATGCTGTGGTTACCAATATATTGAGTAATGCTGATTGATAGACTTGCCTTCTGCTATCACTGGAAGTCTTATGACAACAGGGTATGAAGCAGATACAACTCCTTGGTCTTACAAATTCACTGAGTACAAACCTGCCAAAAGTCAGTCAGACAGCTGAATAATACAGAATGAGCTTTGTAGCACTAGATGCAGGTAGATTTGTTGCATACAAACTGCATACAAGTTATCACATACAAATTCTCCAGGGCAGAGATTCATGCAATTTGTATGTGCTAAAGAAATTCACCTATGAATATAGGAGCCAAGTATTTATTGATAATCTAATTGCAGCCATAACAATTAAAGACTTATTATTAGTCTAGTTACAGGCCTATTAATGTGTATAGTCCAAAGTGTACAATTGATACATCTTATTCCAAATGATACAGTTAAAACTGCTAACAAACAAATTTTCTCATATCTATTCCTTCCTCTGATATGCTATCTCAGTGCTCCCTTGAGTTCTAAGTTCGATGTTGCTAATTATCCTCAAGAAGAAATTGGGTGGCAGGTGGGAGGTGCCAGAGGAAGGGGGAAGGGAGTTGGGAGTTGTTAGCACCCAGGCTGGAATGGAAATAATGTTCCTGGTGTGGATTCCTTCTCTCTTGGACTTGGGTCTGTGTGGGGTCATTTTTATATGTTTATTAACACTGTCTGCTTCCTTGCTCTTCCTGTTTCAGTCAAAATCCCATATTATACCCAAGTTTTATCATATGTAGTATATTTACATCTGCTGGATGCTTGGGTTCTGGCTCTGTTGAACCTAAAACCGTCCTTATTCACCTCACATGTTACTTACCTGAGATTGCGCAGTAATTGACAATTTGTGATTTGTTCTTATACCACTGATGCCTCTACCACTGTTCTGTGCTTTTCCTTTCATGGCTTTTGCTGTCATCTTGTGCATGCACTTTTGGGAGTACCTGTAACAATCCCAATTTTTTTCAACATTCCTCAAGACTTACCTTCCTGATAATTGTTTTATTATAACTGCTTGCTCATGTATGCATCCATGATTTAAGTCTTTGAATGTTTAATTCCTTCCGAAATAATCATTTAGAAAATATATAGACAGATATGTAGGTAGATACACATGTATATAAGACTTTGGAAACTACTGTGAAGGTATGAATTAAGCTTCCTTCTCTGTAGCTGCGTGAGAACAGTCCACCCAGCTGCACCCTCCCTGCACCTTCTGCTGGGCTCTTCTCTCTCACTGCAGGTGGAATGCCCTTAAATTTGTTATACATAGAATGCTCCATAACCTATTTCATACAAAATCATAGAATCATAGAATGGGTTGGGTTGGAAAGGACCTTAAATATCATCTAGTTCCAACCCCTCCTGCCATGGGCAGGAACACCTTCCACCAGACCAGGTTGCTCAAAGCCCCATCCAACATGGCCTTGAACCCTTCCAGGGAGGGGGCAACCACTGCTTCTCTGGGCAACCTGTGCCAGTGCCTCACCACCCTCACAGTGAATTTCTTCCTTATATCTAATCTAAATCTACCTTCTTGCTATTTAAAACTGTTACCCCTCATCCTATCACTACTCTCCCCGACAAAAAGTCCCTCCCCACCTTTCCTGTAGCCCCCTTTAAGTACTGGAAGGCCATTATAAGGTCTCCCTGGAGCCTTTTCTTCTCCAGGCTGAACAACCCCATCTCTCTCATCCTGTCCTCATAAGGGAGGTGCTCCAGCCCCCTGATAATCTTCACGGCCTCCTATGGACCCACTTGAGCAGGTCCATGTCCTTCTTATGTTGGGGGCTCCAGAGCTGAACACAGTACTCCAGGTGGGGTTTCCCACAAGAAGAGAGGGAGAATCACCTCCCTTGACATGCTGGCCATACTTCTCTTGATGCAGCCCAAGATACAGCCAGCTTTCTGGGCTGTGAGCACACATTGCAGACTCATAGTATAGCTTAGTTTAATACTGTTTGCTAAATAAATATGTCTTGATAGAAAATTTCTAGGAAGTTCTCACGCAGGTTTGTGCAGTAGTAGGCCTGGGAGGGCAGGAACATCTAACAAAAGTCTGTGATGGTTGATGATCAGCAACTTCTGCCAGCAAAACTGATAGATGACAGACTATAGAAAAGGCCTTGCTACATCTCTCAATTTATTCCTTCTGGCCCTCCATCTTATAAACTAAGGGACAGGATCCATTAACTGTAGTGACAGAGGGATCTTTTTCGGCTGAAGACATAATCATCTTGCTCACGTATTTCAGTCTTAATGTAGAAAGTAAAAATAGTAAAAAGGGATGCTAAAGACTATTTGGGAGCCAGAAACACCAGGCATCCCCAGTGATTGTTATCAAAAGCACCACTAAGTGGAAGTTGTGTTGGAGCAATCACAAATAAGCATTCAGTGTTTTCCAGAATGTTTTGCAGTTCACTGTCACTAATACAAATCTGCTTATGTGCCCAGGCATTTCTTCATGTGTAAATAAGTATGTATGCCTGTATGTAAATATACAAATACTAGATAGGTTTCAGCTCATCTCCTCACACTACAATAACTGATTTGTTGAGCAATTCTATTTATAACAAAATGTACATATACATTTTAGTACTAATATTAAAGTTGTTGTAACTTGTCTTGTTTCAACAGATCCCATGAGTCTAATTACAAGCTCCCCGACACCAACTTCAGGTCAGAACTTTTACATACCGGGGGAAGACAAGAAAGCATTGCTGTTATATTAATGTGGGGGGGAAAAAAACAAAACCAAAACCAAAAACTTTTGAGGTTATTGAAAAACATGTGGCTAGTGCTAAAAGAATTATATTTAACATACACTTGGGTTCCACATTATTTTTCTTATGTTTATTGTGACATTTGACCTTCAGGATCAAGCCACTCAAGCTGGTATTACCATATCATTACCTAAGCTGGGGTCTGGAGATACAACAAATAATGCGTATATAAGAGCAGAGTAGCCGCTGCTTAGTTCTTCCCGAGCAATGGCAGAGTTGCTCCCAGGGAGCAAGAAGGAGAGTTCTAACCTTGGGTTGTGTTTGCCCAGGTTCAGGACAACTGACCACAAGCAAGACCTCAACAACTGTAGGTAGGTAACTATGTATGGGGAGAAATAGGGAGGTTATATGAAACAATCTGAGATCTTAGAATTATGGTGTTTGTGTACAGCCTCTTCTCGCATCATTCATTTCTCACATCCCATTCCTACAGTCGCACAGTATGTGGGTTTACCTTTGATTTGACTAAGGAGACTTCTTCAAAGAGAAGGGACTTCTAAGACAGTACATTCTACAAATACGGGATATGTGTTGTGTATATTGATGTATATATTAACTCTCATATTGACTGCTCATTTTTGCTTCCTATTATTTCTTGGAGATTTTTGGAAAAAAAAAGAAGAAAAAAAAAAAACCTGTTAGCAAACTTTCACATGACTTCCAGTGGACAGAAAGACAAAACTGTTTGAATCTTTGAAAACCTCCTTTTCCCTTATTAAATGATGAAATATATATGATATTTATAAGCATTTTCAAATGGGTCTAATGTATTTACTGCCATTTTTTAGTTGAATATAGCAATAACATTGCAATTTAAGGTAATTTGCTGTTCAAGAAAAGTCAAAATGTTTTACTATAAAATGTTAATTTCTTTCTGCCCAGTAGGTGGCAATGCTGTTTAGTTTTTTGAGTTGAAGAATAAAACTAGAATTGATCATGTCATATGTAAACAATGTTTTCTTTCATATTGCACTTGTGCAAAACACATTCCTAGACTATTGGCTGAGTTTTTGTTTTGCATCTAGTTTCAGTTTCATCTCTGCTCATCTGTGGCAATTCATTCCTTGGCACTGTATCACCTCCAACACTTGACTAAAGTATGTTTGGTTTGCTTCAATTTACCAATTGAATGCAAAATGGCTGCTCTTTTCCTTTACACCATCTGCATTGCTAACACTGAAAGTGTTTTGTAAAGCACTTTGAAATGCTACAATACATCCAAACCAATTTCAGTCTTTGTCACTTACACTGATATTCAGTACAATGTCATACAAATATTTATTTAATCTGATCACAGAACCAAGACTTTTATGAAAAAATAAATCAACCAATAATGGTTAGAGGCTGCAAAACTAGTTTTACAAATTAAAATTTTTCTTTCCTGCATAAGAAATTTTGACCTTTTCCAGTAAGCATTTACTGACATAAGAGACTATGTGAATAGTGCTAGGTGAACAGTTTCCATAGAATTTAATGTAATTTTCAAGAATTTTTAAATTAGTAATTATCCAAAGCTTATTTTACCTGCATGTTCTTGTTTGCTTTAATAGGACCTACTTGAATTCTACAGCTGTCTAAGATCAAAACCATCTAAAGATATGTTTGCAGTGGATGAACATTTATGCTCTAGAAAAACAGTATTAGTGAGATGCCGTAATTTTAAGGATCTGCCCATGTATTCTTTTTGCAGAAATTTGTTCTTAATTTACAAATTTAATTTGCAAATCTGAAAATAATAGGATTTCTGATATTCCTGGTATTTCAAAATCCAGTCTTTAAGGCTTTTGTTTTCAAGCTTTGCTGGTCAAAATGAGATTCTTTAGCATGATGAAGTGCATCGTGATGTGTTGAAGAAATTAAATTAAATCATATTCAACTAAAACCAGAGATTTTTTTACTGTTATTTAAACCAAAGTACAGTTTTCTCATGTTATTCAAGCATAAGAAATTTGAAAATGTCATTTATTATATTGCATAAAGTAGTTTTTTGGGTAGAGAAAGGAAATGGGAATTCATGGAAATTTTCTTCCAGCCCTACTTCAAGCTTAGTTTCAAAAAATATGTCACTTCTGAGAACTACCTCTATTCTGTGACAAATTTGTGTATTTAGTATCTGATATTTCATTCCAGGCTTCTAAAAATGCAGTTGTGTAAAACACAATAGAGGTTGATTTGATTTTTGCTAAATTAACCAGAGGTACGTCAATTTTCCTTTCTAGTGAAACTGCATTACTGCTGTGCTGTTGTCCTTATTATTTCAGCTGAATGCTTGCCACCTGCTGAACTTTGTGATGATGGTGTAACCTGCATTAGAAAAGATTTATTTTGTGATGGAGTCTTAGAATGCCCGGATGGTTCAGATGAGTCAGAAAAAAGATGTGGTAAGAATGTAAACCCCTGTAAATCAGTCTTTTTCAACATACTTAAACCTGTCAGTAGTTTTAAAATAATCTATAGGCAATAAACTGCACAGTGAAGTCCAAATCAATTCTACTACTATGAGTGATGGTTATAATCTTTATCTCATAAAAGAAAACAATTTTCTTTAAAATTCTAAATAATTAAAAGTACGCGTAATAAATAATGAATAAATATTACAATCTGGATATATTAATGTAAAATAATATATAATTACAAATGTAAAATAATATATGATTACTAACTAATGTAAAATAATATATAATTACTAACTAGTGTTTATTAATAATATAAATAAATATAATATAAATGATGAAATAGTAGAGAAATGTCATATGAAGTTGTGTACCAGTAATATCAAATAATGTTATTTCCAAATAAATTAAAATTTTGACCCTATACAGATACAAAGTCACATTACCTAGTATCAGAAACCACTTAAGGGCATATATGGAGTGAGAAGAAAGCTTTCTCTTTGATTCCAGTGTTAAGAATATCATCATACAAAACACTACAAACAGCTTTTCCCGGGTTACTATGTACACTCAGTTACACTGATATTGTACATCCAGAAAGTAGATGAAGCAGGAGGGAGTGGTGGGCAGCAGCAGCATTTTTCATCCAGGGCAGGCAAGTGTCCCTGCTGCCACGGCAGGATGGAGCCCTGGTGGAACTCAAACTCTGTCTGGTGGCTGCCCACCCGTGTCCACTACACCAAGGGCGAGGGAACGGGAGTGTCGGCATCACACCGGCACAGATGCTGGAGTTGCTGGCACCACAGTGAGACATGCAAGATGATGATGTGAAAATTTGGGCAGCTGGTTCTAGGTGGCCCTGCTTGAGCAGGGGGTTGGAGCAGATGATCTCCAGAGGTACCTTCCAACCTCAACCCTTCTGTGATTTCATGAAAATCTTACAAACCTAAAACCTGATTGGTTTGTTAACAGAAAAAGTTTATATCCTTCAGTGCCATTGAGTTTGTTTGCCTGTATCTGACTGCCTAGTTTCCCTCAGCACCTTTTTGTGCAGAGCAGCCACTGATCCACTTGGCAGTGAACACTGGATTTATACTAATGAGTCTGAATACATACTGCTTATCAAATTGCTTATGCAGATTTTAGGTGGTTTTAAGATAAGTTGGAGCAATTAACTTCCTGAGTGTTTTGTTTATTTGTTTGGGGTTTTTTAAATATAGAATTTAGTGCTAGAGAGATGGAAAGCTTACTGCCCTTATGCTGTAAGGACAGTCTTCTGAGCTTTCCTGAGAGTAACAGTGGGGACAGTCTAGTCTGAGCTTTCAGAAACATGCTGGGCTCTGGTTTAAAAACAAACAAGCAAGTAAAAGACCATTTTTATTTTAAAGATTCTGCAAGCCTGATTCTGAAGGCTGGTGACATGCTGACCCTTTCTGCCAAAAGTGGAATTTTCTTCAGAAAAAAAAGGTGAACTGCAGATCTGACTATTACCTGCATTTTTATGAGTGCAGCCAGCTCAGGAGACTTAGTTGAACTCTAGGGGAAAATATCCATCAAAATCCTTTAGCAGAATATCCACTGAAACACATCCAAATGTCTATCTAGCATAACACCTGCATCCAGCTAGATCATAACAATGATGAGCTCTGAGAAGGCCCTTCTAAAGTTGAAGAAATCAGAAGGTCTTAAAGTAGCCTCAGGTAGACCTTTGTTCCACTGCAAGTAGTAGGATAGCACAACCCCAAAGAGTTATTCAGTCATTCATTTTTACCATCATAGTTTTGTTCTGAGATGTGGATTTTGTTTGAGATGTTTGTTTAGTTTGTTTTATTTTGATTTATTTTATTTTAGGTATAGCGAAATAAAAAAGTGCAGATCCTTATAGCTAAAAAGTAGTATTATACACCTCATCAAAATGAATGCTTTTTAGTTACTATGAAAGATTAGGTCTGAGTTTACAAGTTCTGCTTACATTTTATTAAAGATGATCCAGTCAGACCTGTTATATAGGACAGAATTTAATTCATAATCATAAATTGGTAGATACAGACAAAAATAAGCTCACCTACTTGCTGTCAGAGTTATGGAGACGTGACTCAAGCTGTGCCCCGGAGGCTACACAGGGGTTTAAGTTATGAATTGTGCTTAAGTAGATTTTTTTCAGCTGAGGCGTGACCTCTTATGTACATGGCATTTGGATCTGATTTGTATCTCTCCCTGAATCTCTACCAAATGTAAGTTGTGAATGTTCTCATTTGGAACTGAGGATATTATTTCTTAATCAGCATTTTAACAGTCACTAAAGAATATGCACAACTGAGATGAAAATTTCAGGAACGTGCATACGAGTAAAAAGTAGACAGAATGTCATAAGGAAACTAGCTGCTGTTACAGGGAACAGGATGATTTTCCCCTGTTCATCTTCACTGATGCCTGGTATTTCCAAGCAATTCATTCAGTTGCCATTAGTTCAGCAGTTTCAACTCATAACCTTACAGAAATACAATTCTGGCTGGAGGACAAATTGTTGCACCATGACTCTTATGTTACCTTTTCAGTCCAAAACTCAGAGCTTTTCTAAACTTATGTATTTAGGTTTCTCAGCAGACTTTGCAAGACCAGTGGAATGAGTGGTAATAAGCCATATGCACGTTTTGGATACACACCAATTTTTCCACCTCTTTGATTTTTCACTTATGTCCCATCCCTAGAATAATTTAATACAGTGACATAAAAGCTAAAATTGTCTAGATTTTCAGAAATGCATCAGAGTTTCACAATGAGATTTACTATCAATTTACAAGAGTTCTTGCACACAACAGCATTGCTACCCTTTAAACAACTTGGTTTGTTTTTTCATCTGGGTTATTATTCCCTCTAGTACTTCTGATTTCAGAATATGTTAGCGGTTTTAAAATATAGGGTACAAGGTTGAATTTTAATAGTCTCTTCCTTCATTAGACAGACTTCAGTAAAATCTCAGATTCTCAGCAGAGATTGAGGCAACTGAACACCTTCATTTTTTTGGTTTTATTGATTAAAATTATCTTGAAAGGTTTCTTTCTGGCTCTGCAATGTAGTGAAGTAACAAAAGACACTGCAAAAGTGTGGTTAGCAATTTCAATGAAAGGGTCTCTAGAGAAATGTGAAAGTCTGAACAGCATCTATTAATAATAGCTGGCATTGCTGGAAAGCAGCCATGTAGCACATAAGTGTAAGGAAAGGGAGACTGGAGGCTGATCCCAGGAGGTGTTTCTCTCTGCAGACTCTCTGCAGTTATTCCATGTCTAGGCTAACACTTTGTGATTACCTACCTCACAGCATCACCACAGTACTGAGATAGATTAATCATATATAAGCTAGGAAGTAATGCACTGCCCTTGGCAGAGAAAGGTCCTGTCAAGTGAAATATGGGGGCTTGATCTGACCACTTTGGGGAGCTTCTTGCAATTCAAAGATAACAGGATTAAGCCCTCCTAATGTGCCCTGTATACAACATAAGTAAATAGAAATGGACAGCAAGGTGCATGTTGGGGAAGCAGTGAATGTCTCCTGTCTCATCAGAACTGAGGCTTTTCTGAGGGCTCCAGGAGGAGGCAGAAGTGCAATGAGCTCTGTGACCCTGCCTGCTTTTGGCCACAGCTGTCTCCTCCCTCCAGCGAGGAAGCTGGCGGAGGTTCTTCAGGGAAATAGGACCAGTCCCAGCTATCTCCCTGCTCATTCCTGAGACACTAAGCACTGACTATTGCTAGGCTGTGGATGAGAATCCTAAGGACTTTTACCTGAATCTTTCTGTCCTGTTTCAAGTTACTCACTGTCTCTTAAGAGATAAGAAGAAAAAATAAAAAGAAACAAGAACAGAAATTGTTGACGCGAGCAAACTTTTGTCATTAATTTTATTACAACAGTATGCTATATCTCTTTTCATTATTGCCAGTTCTGTAAACTCCTTTTTAGATCAGGATGTGCCTTGCTAACCATTTGTTAACAGTATTACTTTTTTGCACACTTCATTAATAACAGGCTGGGTGCTTTCCTTCTTCTCACACTGATTTTATTCTTCTCAATGGGAAATGATTGTAAATATTAGACTATTGGTAAGAACCTGAAACAAATTAATTAAAATTGACAGAAAAAGTACTAGACTAATACTCAGCTCTAAAGATGTGTACTATTCTGATTAAAAGGTTATATAGAATAGTAGTTTTCTCCTTCATGGACATTTTTTCCCTATGCTTTTAAAATCTTATATGTTTTTTTTCATGTCAAAGGCCATGAAGATTGCAAAAGGGAGTATGTTTCTATTCCAGCTCATGTATTAAACATATCATTATTAGTGAAGTTTATTTTGCACAGGTTTTTTTTTTAACAGTGCATGAAACAAAGCTTAATTTTTATGTTATATTTACTAAAGTGGTAGTCAGAATTTTACACTTATAAAATGAACAGACAAGGAGCCCTGATTTATGATTTTGTATATCATTTCCTATAGGATAACTATGCTCAATAAAATTTTAATTTAATTTTTTATAGGATTGATTATTCATAATTTGAATAGTCATTATAAGTATGATTTAATTTCTGATGTTAATGAAAATCTCTGTCTAATTCCTGTTTATCTGCCTCAAATTTATAACTTGTCCTTACCTCTCCAGATAATCATGTATGGTACAGATTTTATCCTTATTTGAAAGTTCTATGATGCTTTCTGAAAAACTGAAGAAAAACCATCATCAGGCTGATTCCTAACATAATGTTCAAACAATACAGCAAACCTTCAACAGTGCTTCAGTGTTTGATGAAATAAAATAATTCTATATGAATTAGCATTTCCAATCTTGCTGAGGCTTCAAAATACATATTTTATTTTTAAATAACTTATTTTTAAACAGAAGAACATGCATAGAATGGAATAGCAACACCAAGGTAACAAAACTAATAAAAGCTTTTTGAAAAAATGTATTATGATGGATGACATTTACCTCAGATGAATGAATTTGATAGCTGGCAGGAAACTTGGGATATCCACTTATCTCTTTGAGTACTTTGTAATATATAAGGTTAGCAACTAGGAAGCTGCTCATAAAAGTAGAGATAGCAATAGTCAACCATATCCCTTCTTGCTTTTATTCACAAGATATCAAATTGTTTCTGGTAGTGCAAGCACAGTTTCCTGATTTAAAGTAGCTGTAGATAAGAACTGTTAAGGCAAAATCCTGTTTTGTTACAAAAAAATATAAAATAAAATGAAAGAGAGTTGGATTAGTTAAATCCACCTGCTGGATTTGAATTATTTTGATTGGTTTGGACTAGTCTGAATTAATTGGATTGTCTCTAATTTAAAAGTGAATTATCTGTACTGCTTTTATTCTCATATAGTAAGTTGAGATCAAATAGTCATAGGAATTAGAAGTGGGAGTAAATTGGTAGTGTGTTTTACTTTGTCTTCCCATTGTTGCTTACAAAGGATTTCCAAGGTAACACATGTAAAACAACATGTAAGGTCACCCTCATATTGGCTCTGATTCTGTTTTTCAAATGGGATCTTGACAAATGTTCCTTATATCTTTACAGCTGCAGTTTGTGATGGAAAATTTATGTTGACCAATTCCTCTGGGTTTTTTCACTCTATGAATTTTCCAAAACCATATAATGCAAATATCGTTTGCCAATGGATTATACTGTAAGCCATTTTCCAATAATTTTCTACCTAACAGCTTTTTGATTATGAGGTGATATTGTTTCCTGCACATAAATCTTATGGCATTTGTTTGTGTTCCCAAATACCCCAGTGTGGAAATTATGTAATAACATTTCTCATTTTTATTTATGTAACTTTTCTTTAAAAATTTGCATGCCTAAGCCCCATAACTATATCAATAATTTTCCTATTTACAAAAATTTTTAGGTATAGTGCTGAGAAATCTTGTGTATTATATGTATGCACAGGAACATATTTTTAAGGTCGCAATAAATCACATAACTCAAAATAATTGCAAGAAATTTGTTTAAAAGTATTACAGTAAATACTAGTCTTTAGGTAGTGGTTTTATATTATGTAACTGTTTCTGACAGATGGAATTTTCAAGAATCCCCTTGTCATTTACAGATGCACATTTCATCTGGGAGTTAACAGCACCTGTGTTCATAAGTCATTTAGGAATATGTTTTAAAAGCACAAGTATCATTTGACTTAACGGCACCAAAAGCTTTTTAAGCCTTAGGCACAAGGAGTGGAATTTGTTTAATCAAGGAAACATACCTACAGGGAGGGACAGCTCTTTGACACTCTAGGTCCACTTCACAGGTCAGAAAGAAAAGATAGCTATAGTATGTGATAAATCTCATCCTAAAGTACACATTTAAAATAAGTTAGATGATTGCAAGTCAGAAGCTCCTAAAAATCCATACAATGACTGCTAATTCAGAAGTTACTGCTTTGAAAGGCAGTAATTCTTATTATGGCTTTGTAATAATGGTCACTCTTTGATTCTGAGAAGTATTAACTTGGTGGTAGAGTTTCAAAGGAGATTAAGGAAATGCCTTTAAAATTGGATAAGATTTGGACTTCTCATTCCCAAGGCTCCTTTGAAAGTGCTAGCCTTTGAGTTTGTTCAGGACTTTCATCTTCATGTTGATGCTTCAGGAAAAAGTCACGGGTTTGCTTCTGTTTAGTACACTTGTTCCTTCTCATTTTCAGCAATACAATTCACTAGTAATTACTGGCTACAACTGGTTTTAAAATATAGGTGTGTCACAGAAAAAGCACAAGATTGTATCCTTCAGAATATAAACTTGACTTGTTCCTCAGTTCATGGTGTTGCAGAATTTGAGCACAATAAATAATCATGTCTCAAGTGCACTAGTTCCTTCTAAGATGTTAATTTTGCTTCAAACACTGCTGTAGCTGCAAGAAGCATTGTATTAGGTAGATATCTATACCAGGTATGTAGATAACAAAAGCTTAACTTTTAAAGGAATCATGAATAATTGCAAATAATATAGTACAGGTGCTCAGATCTGTGTAAGTACAGCTTGATCAATGATAAAAAAAAAAACCATCTGGTTCCATTTCCACTTCTCTGCTTTAAAAAAGTCTGGCAAGACTGACAGTAAAGGCCTGAAAAATTCAATGTGTTACTCAAATTTTGTCTCACTTTCAAAAATAATTGTTTTGGTGAGGGAACCTTTCGGGTTTTCCAGAAACCACTGAGAGATATTTTGTCCTATTATTTTTATTATCCCTACAAAAATGTGTCAAAAGTCACCCTATAATGCATCCAAGATTTGATTTCTCTTCTGGCTTTCTTTGTCTAGAAAGATTTCCCCATTACCTTTAGAAAAAGCTTTTACATTTTCACCCCATTTAACTCCTCCCCAAATGAAGATGTAATTTCCTCTCCTTTTAAAAGTAAGAGCAGCATGCTCAATATTTCCCTGAAAGATTAGCTTCCTGAAGGATTACTTTTCAGCTATATGTTTTACTTTTTTAAAACCGAGGATATGTTTTTCATATGGAGAAATACATAACCAAAAAAAAAAAAAAAAAAAAACAGCAAATGCAAATATTCAAATATTTACTTCATGCTTCCCTACTAGTCGGTACTGATAAGCACCATCAGATTGCAGTTGAAAAGCTATCTTCATTGGGTCTTGATTCCAAAAAATTATAAATATTGGTATTGGAAGCTAAGCTGATTGTGGTGGTAGACTTTTAGAATTTGGACTACCATATGTTTAGTGGAAAGGCAATGGGAGAACAACTTAAATATAGATTATTGAAAGAACATAACTGCAGCAAAATAAAACCCATCATTTTTTACACTTTAGTTAAAGTGACTTTTGTTATTCAGTTTACTGGGTGATGGTTAAGTTTGATAACATGTTCTCAAACAGTGCATTTGAGATCCTCAAATCTTCATGCAAATCCTGATTTTGTCATAGAAGACATTATTCTGGACTTTCAGGAGGCAGATTTTGATATCTTGCTATTCGTATTGATACCATGATACCATTCCTATGACTTTAGGAAGTCTACCTGAACAGTGAGAAGTTAGCTATTAGTAACATGTATTCAAAAGTAATTGCAAATTAATGAAATGCAGAGGAAAAAATAAAAAAAAAAAAAAACACACAAAAAACTATTCAGATGAATAACACATTCTAGAGAAGATTCAGTTCCTAAAATACATTTAAGTCCAGTGAGTAAAGGAGTACTTGTACTGTTATAGAAGTTCTATGCTCTACTCCTTTGGTAATTTTACAATCTATAAATTAACCAAATAGGCCATCTTGATTAATAATCTTGATCAATGTAATTTCACATTTGTTCTGAACTTAACATAATTCAGGCACACAAGTAATTTACTGCAGTCAGAAAAAAAAAAAAAAAAAAAAAAAAAAACAACAAAGATTCAGTTTTGAGGTTTATTTTTCTTCTCTTATTTTAGAGTGCCTCAAGGGTTATCCATTAAACTGAACTTCACTTCTTTTGATACACAACAATATGGGGACAATTTAAATATTTTTGAAGGTATAGGACAAAACAAGATTTTAAGAGGTAAGGTTATTTTTTCAGCTAATATTACTTTCCATTAATAAAATTTAAATGGTAAACCAAGCACTTTGAAGTGAAAAAAATTACATGTGTATGTTTAAGCAGAACAATGCATCTGTGTATAGTTAACCTGTTAAGCAATAGATCTTGATATACATACCTACTCTTACAAAGTGACCAGATAAATGCTTCCCTAATATATTAAGAAATGACTACTTTTTTTAAGATCTTATTTGAACAATCTTGATAACTTGACCAGAGCCATGGTCCTGTGGGATCCATGTTTCATTGGAAATATGTTGTCAGAAGAACTTGCAACATCACACATAGTAACGTAAAATGAAAGCATCTAAACTGAAACTGTTGGGAAAAGTACTATGATACTCCCTGAAATTCATTACAGGCATGGCATTGCTTTCCTCAGACTTTGAAATATTGATGATACCTTATCCCTGTCTCTAGATTCTACCCTGGAAAACTGGGATTTTGCCCATTTTACATAAGTCTCAGTCTATGCTGAATTCTATCAGAGCTGGAATACATGTACTTAAAGATAGATATGTAGAGAGAAGACAGAAAGATATATTATTATTTATCCTTATTTTTGTAAGCAAGGAGAGAACAGGAGAGAATGGGAATGAAAAATAATAAAAAAGTCAAAGTAAAGCATAGAGAAATTCTACCTTTTCAGTGCCGCTTTGAATTTTACACTTTGATGCAGGAAATTGCTTCAATAATATTCTTTGCAACAATCATTAACATGTATGGTTTAAGGACTGCTGTGGGGATGACCATTGATACCACAAAGATATACAAACTGTGTTAAAGACTGTCCTTCAATGTTTTGCCTAAAACTTTGCAGTTTGTGGGGTAAATTTCCAGTTACTGGAAATACCTAATCTAGAGGAGAGAGGGACTACAAGACATTTCCAGATTAAGACTCTCCACTTAAGTAAATAAAAGAACATGAGAAGGAGGAAGGAAAATAATGCACATATATTTATGTGTGAAAGATGATGACCTTTGTCTTTCCTTAATAATTTGGCACTGTTTCAGATATGTAGTATTACAGGTAGGTAAGTAGCTCCTCTTCAGAAAACCAAAGTTTCTCTATCTGTACAAAACTGGGCAAGGACTTCAGAAGAGAAAGAGTAGAGGCAAATCTTTAACAGAACAGTGAAGAATTCAGGATTTTCTTTATCCTGAACATGGTCACTAGTTTATCTGTTGTTGCCTGGCAGCATATCAACTTCACATGGAGGATCAAATATTTTATTGTATGATTACTTGTATCGATCCTTTAATTTTACACATATGGAATTTATATGAATTTAAATTAATTTAGAATTTAAAGTCAAAATTTAGATTTATTGTACCATAGACTCATAGAACTGTTCAGGTTGAAAGGGACCTTGAAAGATTCTCTGGTCAAACCTTTCATGAGAAAGGAAGCCTAGATGAGATTATCTAGCACCCTGTCCAGTCACTTCTCAGAACACTGCAATTGTTCCTTTGCTACATACCTTGATACATATATCACAAAATGAAATTCCTATGTAATTTCACAGTTTTCTTACTCTTTGAATATCTTTAAGTGTATATGATAATTATTAAACTGTGAGAATAAGTATATATAACAAAAGTATGTAATCAATGCTGTGATTCTAGAGTTTCAGAGTGCATATCTCCAAAATGTTGAGAACATTTGCAGCATAATAAGCATGAATATTAAAATTATAGTGTTGAATATGTGTACTATAAGAGACATTTCTCCACTAGCTGATATCCATATTGATGGATATGAGAGATGGGATATACAGAATACTTAAAAGGCAGCCAAACAGCTAAATGCCTTCAGGGCTTTGAAGCTATTGTAGGCAGGATCACAGTACAAGACGGAAAGCATTCTTTAAGACTCAAAAATCTAATCCACTGTATTTTTGTGACAGCACTGGGGACTTTAATGTACATGGGATTGTTTTCTCTCTGACTATATTATTCTTTATTTGTTCTCAGCTTCTCTGTCAGGGTCTAATCCTGAGACAATTTACATTTTTTCTCATGAGGCTACAGCACAGTTTATATCCGATTATTCTGAAAATTACAATGGCTTCAATGCAACGTACACTACATTTAATGCAAATGAACTAAAAAGTAAGTGGTTTCTTGTGTGTGTGTGTGTGCATTTGCTTGTTATCCCAAAAGTTTGGTGAAACTATATTTTCAGTTTGACAAAATGGAGATGAAAAGAGAAGCAGTATTTTCTGGCCTCAGTCCACTAACTAGATCCACTTTGAGATATTTCATACTATTTTAAAGATCAAATCATTGATTTCAGTACGACTATACAGGTTTACAGGCACGTATCTAGCAGTAGGGTGATGCCTTAAAACTTAATCTGTCTAAATTAGAGTAAAATTGTGTCCATATCATAGAATCATCATAAAATCATAGAATGATTTGGGTTGGAAGGGACCTTAAATATCATCTAGATCCAATCCCCCTGCCACAGGCAGGGACATCTTCCACTAGACCATATTGCTCAAAGCCCCGTCCAACCTGGCCTTGAACCCTTCCAGGGAGGGGGCAGCCACAGCTGCTCTGGGCACCCTCGGCCAGCGCCTCACCACCCTCACAGTGAAGAATTTCTTCCTTATATCTAATCTAAATCTACCTTCTTGCTGTTTAAAACTGTTACCCTTCATCCTATCACTACACTCCCCGACAAAGAGTCCCTCCCCACCTTTCCTGTAGCCCCCTTTAAGTACTGGAAGGCCATTATAAGGTCTCCCTGGAGCCTTTTCTTCTCCAGGCTGAACAACCCCATCTCTCTCATCCTGTCCTCATAAGGGAGGTGCTCCAGCCCCCTGATCATCTTCACGGCCTCCTCTGGACTTGCTCCAACAAGTCCGTGTCTTTCTTATGTTGGGGGCCCCAGAGCTGGACACTGTACTCCAGGTGGGTTTTCACAAGAACAGAGGGGGAGAATCCCCTCCCTCAACCTGCTGGCCACACTTCTCTTGATGCAGGCCACAATACAGTTGGATTTCTGGACTATGAGCACACATTGCTGGCTCATAGTAAGTTTTCTCTCTGCTGACAACCTCAAGTCCTTCTCCACAGGGCTGCTCTCAATCCACTCATCACCTAGCCTGTATTTGTGCACGGGATTGCATCAACCCACATGCAGGACCTTACACTTGGCCTTGTTGAATTTCATGAGGTTTTCACAGTCCCATCTCTCAAGCCTGTCATGGTCTCAGTCAGAAACCTCTCAACCAGTTTATTCACTTAATGAACACTGTTGAATCACTGATGCTAATCATTATTCTGTGATTACCTGACAATACCTACTATTCAGGGTTCCTGACATCCTAACTCATTGTCACAAGTAGTAATCCCAAACGGTAAAACTAGCATTCCGAAAAATACCTGTTTCAGTAAACAGGCATTAGAAAAAGTCCAGATGTAATAAATCTACAGTGACAACAAAATTCAGCAATATGACTCATGTATTGGTGTTCTTTAGTAGTTGGGAAAAAAAAATAGATGCAGATTGGACAAGTGAAGGCTTCTTCAGCTGCTAAACTTAGAGCAGGATGTGAATAGGGGATGTGCCTGGAAAGGGATATGCTGCAGGAAGCATCCAGAGTGCCAGCAAACTCTTGTTATGAGGAAGCCCTTGCTGGGGGCTGACCTGCACTTCAAGGCACCATGAAAAGACACTGAGCAAAATATCATGGGAAGAAAAGTGATGAGGATGTTGCAGTAAATATATGTGAGCAAAGAGGGAGCCAAGGAAAAAGACAAGGAAAGGGGCATCCCTGGTGCATGGACCACAGCACTTAACATCTGAGCATTCAGCTCTGGTTGTGAGCCTGTTCAGCTGGAGCAATCCAGGCCTTGGCAAAGAAACGAGGAAAAGAGCAGGGTTAGCCCTTAGAATTAGCTATGCAAGAGGTCCTCTCTCATTTACATTGTTCGTCACTCATTCTTATGTAATACTGAGAAAATACTTAATGTCTCTGTCATTTTTAATTACTAGAGTTTCTTATTCACAGACTATGAGAAAGTCAATTGCACTTTTGAAGATGGCTTTTGTTACTGGATACAGGATTTAGATGATGATTCAGACTGGGAGAGAGTTCAGGGTCCTACCTTTCCATCTATGAGTGGTCCTGATTTTGATCATACATTTGGCAACATATCAGGTAAGATCAAATACAAGTTGCTTGCAAATTATAGGAAAAACTTGATTTAGTTTATGTTATACCACTGTAGAATAGATTTTTTCATAGTGGTATTGTTGGGATGTAATTTTGTTCTGCCATAAAAATGAGCCAGGGCTACCAGACAAAACATTTTATGCTACTGTTTGACATCTTGTGGAAAGATACGAAAGACAAAAGAAGAAATAATGGAATATAGAAGGTGATTAAAATATGAGGTATTGAAAAGTTTCAATGCTATTAATATGTCGAAGTGCCTTATCTGAGAAAGAAATTTCTATTAATCAACAGTGTTACAGGTCAAATAACTGCATGTTTACCTTAAGGAAAAAAACAAGTATAGTTACATTTTAGGGAAATCACTTCTATTTCATCCCTATCAACTGGTGACATCCTCATGGTTGTCACAGAATAATTTTGATTTAACATAAAGTTGACCTGTAGGGTACATAGGCACTTGTGTCCCCAGTTAGAATCACACACCAAACACTAATTTTCATATGTGTAAAACACACAAGCACTCCAGCAACTGCTATAGCAAAACAACTTAATTGGAAGAGTGATTATATCAAATGTGGGTTTTAATTAAAGACACAATACTGATAGGAATCGTGGTTTTAAGGTTTATCATGAATTCTTATCCCAGAATTAGACTCCAAAAGGTTTTTTCTGCTTCAACAGTAAAACCAATCTTTTTCTCAGCTGATCTGTCAGTCCAGATAAAATTGATTAAGATAATCTGTCTATTGCAATGGTTATATGTCTTCTATGCAAGACTTATACAGAACTTATTTAGTGACAAATAATTAGAAAAACTGAAGGTTATTCTGGAAGAAGTTACCCCCAGGAAAAGAAAAATGTTATTCAGCATGGTATTGGGTAGAAATGATTCACCTCTCTCTGATTAAATGCGCATTTTCTAAACAATCTTCAGAACTCTGTTTTATCTTCCCACATGACTCCTAGAATACAAATCAGATGAAAGAATGTAAAATTTTTTAATAAAACATTTGCCAATCATTTCTGCTCTCTTGAAAATGCTAATTTATTTTAGGTGCTCTCTGTTTCACTGTGCTAGATCTAAGCTGACATATATAATGCTGCTATATGTAATGTTGCTATTATATTGAATATTCAAATTTCTATGACCTGTTTTCAAAGTAAAAATGTGAGATGCATCATTAATATCCTGCTATTACATACATTCAGTGAGACAGTGTATTTTGGTTTTGCTGCTCCTGAAAAGCAAAGTACCTAATATATACTCAGCAATTGATTCTGAATGTTCAGAGAATTGATGACATAGAGAAACATCACTTTGACTATATGAAGACCTTTTCTGAAAAGAATGCTATGCTCTTTTTCTTAAAGCTAGACACCATGTATATTTTAATGCATGCTTTCTAAATCAACACAGGAAATTAAAGGCCTGATTCAGATTCCAGACTAATTTTCAGGTACATTAACCTTCCACATGGAAAAGCTAGCTAATCTAGAGGTATATACAACAAAATATACTATATATAATTGAAATTATATAGCTATAATTATATTTATTTGTCAATTCTGTGAACTTACTATTTGCATATATATGTATCAGACAGATAGAAACTAAGACTATAGTCATGATTTCATTAAAGCAAGAATTTTATTTTAGGATTTTTAACTCTACCTAGTTTTTCTTTTCTTGTGATAAATCACAGTGCCTCTGTAGCCTGTCCTTATGTTATATTTCCATCTGGCATCAAGAAGTCCAAACTCCCAGCTGCAAGAAATTAACACAGAAAAACCTAAAAGCCCAATTTCCCCAAATAATGTATTTTTCTTTCCCTTGCTATCAAATATTCATGTAGTCATTCTCTCACCCCCCTTAACACACAGCCCATATTTCCCATTATTATGTGGACAAAAATTATAAAAATGTTAGGAAATTCTGCAAAATCAAAAACAATGTCAAACAGGAAGACATTTTTATAAATTAAGTACAAATTGCTCAAGTGAATCTCTGCCTTCACTAAATAAAAAGCAGATCTCCCACTAACTTCAAAAGGACTAGTTTCCCATTTCATATGTAGTTCTGAGGAGAGACTGAGAAGCTTCAGCACCCATTTTCATATGTCATTGATTTGTGAATATAACTTGGGATAATCATTCACATATATTGTGTCAGGACTCTTCCAAGTTATGCAACACTATCTGTGCCTGATATTATTGATATTATTTTTAATGTATATACTCTCATTTAAAAATAATATCAATAATTCTTTACTGATTAAATTATGCTCATTATCTTTCAGGATTTTATATTTCAACACCCATAGGACTTGGATTTGGAGAAGAAAGAGTCCGAATTCTGAGTCTGCCTTTGGTCTCTTCAGATACATCTTGTCTAAGCTTTTGGTATTCTTACATAATTCCTAAACATATACTTAGTTTAAGAATAAAACCAATTAGCATTGTTTCATATATAATACTAATCCATGCCAGTGTGCTGGCAATACAGGCCTACTCCTGTTTGGATTTCCATGATCAGTCTCAATCCTGGACCTGAAACTTTGACTCCTTTATAGGTTTGATTTTTGCAGTGAGTTTTAATTTGTTTTCTTTTTCACCATGAATCCAATAATAATTTTATATTTAGAAATGATATTAAGAACTCTTGAAATGTTTTTTGCCATGAAGCTTAATTAGGCCTCTTCAGAAAATATAGCAAAGTACCAAGTAAATCTTCCAGGTGTAACCTAAACATACAACTCATTTTGTCTTCATGATCACTGCAAATTAGTCCTAATACCATAAAACTGTCTATAAAATAAAAAGCTTGATATTTTTTCATGATATTTCACTTTGTTCTATTAATACCAAAATTTCTCTTCCCCCTCTAGGTATTTCATGTATGGTACTAATGTTTACCGTTTAAGAATTAGCATAAGTAATGAGCATGGTTTGGAAAAGATTATTTTCCAGAAAGAAGGAAACTATGGAAACAACTGGAATTATGGACAAGTAACATTAAATGAAACATCTGATTTTAAGGTTTGTTAAACTGATAGTCCTTTTTAAAATTTATTTTAGCTAAACTGATACCAGTTTCCTGCCAAATGAACTCAGTGATGCACAGCCCCAAAGATAGTATCTAGTATTATTTACTAATGCATGCCTTCAAGTAAATGCTAGCATGCAGAAGACTGGAGTCCCTATTTGAATTATCATCCTTCCTCTCCCCTACTCTGGAATTTAAAGTACTATTATAGTAGAAAAAAGAAAGCCTTAACATTGTCATGGGACAATAAAGTTATCACAAAAGAGAGCTTTCTGCAAAACAAGGGTGTTCAAAGCCTACCAAAATCTGATGTGGAGTTTAAAATCCGGAGAGTGTGTCTGATACAAAGCACTTAGCAATGAGAAGATTTAAATTAAATAACTTCAGATTCGGAAGCAGCATTTTCACTAATTAATTACAGATAAGTCACTGAAAGTGTATTCCAGAGGGAAATGTATTTGACACCACATGGTTAAAAACTAACCTGACTTATCTGTAAACAAAAGGAGGATACTTATGCTAGAAAATTCCTTCAGCAACTCTCTATTGAAAACAATTTCTTTTTATAGGTATTTGGGATGGCTTGTCCTGCTATAATAGTTTTGATTAATGCAAAAGCACTACCAGAAAGATGTATTTACCATCTGAGGAAGTAAATGCATCTGTGACCTGGCTGCATCAGATTTCCAGCAAATGTGTGTTTTACGATCTCAGGAAGAACACTGTACCTAGCTGTATTTCACCAGCACAAATTCCCTTAAATATGTGGATATTAAAGCACAATAACAAACAAATGAGATTAATTTCAATTTTTCATGGTGATATGCTATTAGATCAGGAGAAGTTTGGAGTGATGAGTGATACAGAATTTGTGTTTCAAAACTTACATGTATTTCTATATAAAAAGTAAAGTTACTGAATAGTTTTAAATCATGTACATCATTTATACGAAGAAATTCATGAATTACTTAGAATGATCCACTTGGATACGAAGAAATTTCTGCATTCCTTACAATGATCCACTCAGTTTGCATAGTACTGTTTTGTTTTGTGAAGAATCCTGTCTCATCCCTGATGTCCTCCTCTGAGTGTAACACCTGTGCAGATTGCCATGGAAATAAGAGTATTCAAGAAAGAAGACAATGTTTCAACATAGGAAGCTGAAAACTGTTTCATTAAATTATAAAATTCTAATTATTCTTCATGAACCTCAGGTTATTTTTGACGCCTTTAAAAAGCGTGGTCCCAGTGATATTGCCTTGGATGACATTGGCCTGACAAATGGAAAGTGTAATGAAAGCATTCATGTAGAGCCAACTGTGATTCCAACGGTTACTACTGTCCCTTCAGTTCCTAGTAAGTAAACATCAAATTGCAGTTGATTGATTGCCATTTCCTATGACTGTAAATGTGTATAAGTGATTAAGAATTTTCAGCCTTCAGTTCTATAAAAATATCTCTTCAATATCATAAAATTAACTTCAGGATAACATCCTAGGGATCAGGTTCCCTGCCCATGAATCCACTGAGAGCAACAGAACTGTTTGATTCACAGCCTATCAGTACAGTATCTTCCAAATCTTGAAGAGTGGTAGATAATTAAAGAATTCAGAATTTGTCTCTAAAAGCATTAATTAGTAAATCTTCCAGGAAGTCACTGAAGGGGAATGAAGAAGAAAGAGAAAAAAGATTATAACATCTGTATTTGAAATTATAAGTGATGTAGCAGGAAAATAGACAGTGAGCAAAGTCACATAGTAATATCACTAGATGTCTCAATATTAAAAATTCACCAAGCTCTGAAAACATATTCACACTGAAAATTTGATATTGAGGGGAATGAATCTATAATAGTGCCAGAATAGTTTAAGAATGGAGCATGATCTATGTGAGTGTTTAATACTCAAAATGGAGGTATTACCTGAAGCAAGGCTCACAATAAATGAGTTCTTTCCAATATTCATTTGGCCTTATTGTATTCCTACTATGTCTTATTACATTAAAAAGGAAAAAGGAAGCAATATTTGCTTTGGAAAAAAAAATCTAAATAGGGAAACAGAAAAGACAGGACAATTATCAATTCTTTTGGTTTCAGAGGAAATGAGTGGACAAAAAAAAAAAAAAATAATCAAAGGACTCTTCTCACTCCCTGATCTAATGAGGTTTCAATATTTGCATAAATTGTGGAAGTGTCAAAATCTATGCCTAATTTCTTCAATTTTACATTTGCTAACTGTACTCTTTGTGGTAAGGCAGCAGTGATGAAAAAGTACTTGCTCTAGTAATAATGAATGGGGCTCTACTCCTGCTTGATTGGGCCTCATCTCATTTCATCTCACTATCTTCTTGGCACCTCTTCTGAATCCCAGGTTCAGTGGGAAACTGGAGGAGGGTCGGTTTTGTTTGCACATTTTTGCCATCTTCTTCAAGTCAAGTAGAAGTTAATGAATCATGAAATGTCACTACCTATAGCAAATACGCACTTCTCCAGACAGGTTGTACAGCCTAATCCAGACCCATCAGCAGAGTCTTTTAGAGGAAAGCACAGAGATTTCAGATTCCCCAAAACATTCCAGTTTCACAGAGCTAGTTAGTAGAATCTCACTGAGAAAAATACAAAAGAAATATCTGTAGCCATTGTTATAAATCTGGAAAATGTATATAAAAAAAAATAATAAAGATTGCATATGATCTTAACCAGTTCCACACACATGCAAAGCAAAAGATGGTACAAATATGAACAGATCTTGTGTAAAAATAATTAAAATAGGGCTTTGTAACTTGTGAAAAAGGCATGAACTTCTTGGAAAAAAGAGATTTCTACAGAAGACATATTCACAGATGGCTTCAAATCATGAAAACAAACAGTGAGTATGTTCCAGGACTGCCTTCTATTAGATCTACTGTTATTTCAAAGCACAGCTAGCTGCTCTCTTGAAAGCATATAGTAAATAAAAGTGGTCTAAGATCAAAATAATAGAAAAAGACTGAATTGTATTCATGTTGAATCACTGTGTACTAATATAGTCACTGTATCAAATTTAACACCTCTAAATCTACTGCATCAAGACAGGTGAAAAGACAAAGCCTTCTAAATATAAGAGCAAAATTCAGTTTTAGAGCTCCATCCTGAGACACAAGGAGGTGAAGTTCAACCAGATGTCTCTGTCAGCAACAATAAACTTTAATAACACTAGTAATTTCAGTAATAATTTATCAAAGTAAGTTTTGGAATTTGATTGCAGTTTTCATTAAAGTAATAGTGTGGAGAGGTGTTGATGTCTGCCACTTCCATCCATCTTTCAGATGCTGTAGGTAAGCACACCTCACAAATTAGCATAAGCCTAATGATTAGTGGCAGGATGACCCTCTGGTGAATAGTAGCTGAGTGCTGCTGTCAAAACACCAAAGAAATGTCATTCAAACTATAGATCTCTACCCAAAATATAGTGATAAAGTTTTAATATTCAAAAAAAAGGAAGTGGTTGCGTGACATGTAACTCCTTATGGAACAGATTAGGGAGGATCCATACTGTCTTTCGATATGATACAAAAGCACAGTCTAAGCTGTGGCTGGTGAAAAACTAACTTGTTTGCATAACTTTGTTGAGGTGTGTTATGTGTACAGTATCTGTAACCTGATGAAAAAATGTGAATGTTATCAGTTGTCTTCAAAGAAGTATGAAATTACTTTGATGGATGTGGTGCAAGCTTACTAACATTAATGGTTTTACTACAAGTGTCATGTTTATAAACAAAAGATGAAAGAATCCAATCTGAGCCAATTTCTTTTGCTAGACTTAGAGCTTCAGTAAGAGGCACTGACATCATTCACAGTGCTGCAAAAGCTCACTGAAAACTCAAAAGAATTTTTGGTGGTGGGATATGGAAGCTGAATTTGCTTTTGTCTTTTGCACAACACTGTCAGCTTACACTTTCATCTAAAACAAAGATTGCTTTCATCTTCATATTAATTTATAACCTGTCTTTTAACATAAACAACAGTGTGGAAATTACAGTGTAGATTCCGCACTTAAGATGTGTATGTCAATATAAATTAAAGTTTTAACCAAAGCACAGAGGAATTTTTATGAATAGGTCATATATAATTTTCTAGAGTGTTGAGAAAATCATCTATTATGCTCAATGAAAAGACCAAGTTTATTGGTGCTGATTGATATTTGGTTCTCTGACGAGTGACAGTTATATGAATAACTCCATATAAATTTGTGTTTAAAGATCACTGAAAATTGTTAAAACATGTTTCCAGACATGACTAAAATCAATTACTTCTATAATTTTTCCATGCAAGAGAAAGATCATTACTGATATTCCTTACATGTAGTCAGTACTAGATCAGACTTCATCATAAGTTGCCCTGTTCTGCTATTAAGAAATTTGGGTTTGCTCTGCTCGTATCATCATATGACACTGGCTAAGAATCATATATTCTTCATGCAGCTTTACAATAGTTGTGTGTCTGTTTGTACATGTAGTAATGTTTCATAAAAAAGGCCAATGTAATCTTTATTTGTTTTTAATGTTATTTATAGAAAGCAGTCATTGTGAGCCATACAGCTGACCTTTACCGTTGTTAGTTGGTTCTGATTGTCAACCATTCCTTCTCTTTTCAGAGAGTCTAGCTTTTTTTGTCTGGAGTGATTTGGTGAAATAGAAAGTTCTGTAAGATGTCTGTCGTGAGAATGTTCAAATCTTTCTTGTATGTAGTGGAGCTTCCTCCCAGGGGGATTCAATGGGCAAACTCAGTAGAATTCATAGATTATGCCCAACCAAGTGGCTCAGAATATGCAATATTGACAAACATAACAAAACACAAAATTTGAGCCATAAAGGATGGTGAAAGGGAGTGTTGAAGTTTAGCCAAAGTCTGAAAGTTAAAAATAATCAGTTTTAATTCAGTTAATAAAACAACAAAACAAAATTTAAAAGGTAGATTTCTTCTGCCTTAACATCTATTTCCTGAAGCAGGTGGAGGAGCACTCTATTTTTCAATAAAGTAATTGACAACAACCAAAGTTGGAAAACACCAAAGTTCATTCTGATGGTACAGCTGAAATGAAAATAAATAATATTTCTCAATATGATGTAAAGTTTTGAGATATGAAGCTGACATACTTTGGATGTAAACCACTTTCTAAACAATATACTGGAAGAGAATAATGAATATAAAAATACAATTAGCTATGTCTATGTGTGTGAGTATATATGTATGTATGCATATCTACAATATTTGCTTTTAAATAAATTTTATTCATTTTATATATGTGTATTTACATGTTTATGATAAAGACTTTTCTTATTAGACCTGTTGTTTCAAGGAAAAAGGAAATTGCTACTTTTACCATTTATAAGGTTTAACTGTAAAAGTTTTTAGAGTCCTGATGAAATCAGAAAAATTATATAAGGGATGTTTTGTTATAAAGTTTGTTTGTTTGTTAGAAGACAAAATGGGCTTTATACCTGAGTATGTCTGGTAATGCTGCAAGAAGATCAACCAGATAATAAGCAAGGCATACAAGCTAAGTGCATAAATGAGTTTTGGTAGGCGAGAGGGCTTTCCTCTGTTTCTTTGACATTTTCCAGCTTTTGTATTAAGGTACTAGTAAATTATACAGCTGACTGTATCACATTCTTCTCTTCATATTTTATATCATGAGCAAAACTTGAAGAACAATAATCACCAAATGAAGGACAGACTGTGTCCTTCCCCTAACTTCATGGGGAAGACTTCTCATAGCACCATCATGAATACAGTTGAGCCACACACCAGCACTTCACAAACAGCAACATATGCACTGTAGCTGGAGCTAACGCTATGGCATCAATTATATGTGTCAGCAGATCTGACTTAGACACTGTAACTAATCAGGACGATGAATATCTTACACACTTTGTTTCTTCAATGATCTATGTCTTTACCAGAGTGTTGGCTTCTCTTAACTCATTGTTCAAGCTTTATACCAATGGCATCATAACTGAACCCTTACAGTGATCAAGTTAGCTTGAATATCCTCTTCATAATATTACTTTTTCCAAATTATCTTTGTTTCAATGGGTTCCAAACTTAAGACAATACGTTAATTACATTTTTTAAATGTTTTCTTTTTCAGCTGACTGTGGAGGGACAGTTGAACTCTGGGAGCCAAATAGTACATTCAGCTCTGAAAACTTTCCAAACAATTACCCTAATCAAGCTTATTGTAAGTAATTTGTCTCCAAGTCTTCAGGAAAAGTTTAGCCCTATAAAAGTAGAAATACTAAATCTGCTTTCCCAAGTCAGATACTGTCAAGCAAAAAAGTTCTAAGCTATATACAGTGGAATCTTTTAACTGAAGCCTATATGGCACTTAGCAGAAGTTAAAGAATCATTTTAATCATGAGTTGATTAAAAAGCGATGAAGACAAGAATAATCCCTTGCAATGGGTTCAGAGAGGCCAATTCCATCATGCCTATTATGTCAAATATCTTTATATCAATGCAAAAACAGACAAAGTTCTGGAAGGCCCCATTTCACCATTGCACCTCAATGTATTTTCCAGGTTAATATCATCATCTCTTTTGTTAAATAGTTAACCTTTTCTAGGGACAAAGAATGTGTATGCATTTTTCAGGAGAACCTCTCTTTATTGAATGTTTTTTGACATATTAGTGAAAAAGCATCTTTATTCTACTGATGTTACTTGATTTAGATTAAGCTACAGCTGACAAAAGTGAAAATGTTTCAAGGTGGTCTACTATGTGCTGTTGATGGATGAAGCAAGGAAGAGTACTTTGTCATTGCTTCTTGATGGAATTTTAATTACTTATTACTTCACCATCAACTGGAGAATTCTGTTGGGATACTAATCACAACAGTTGTAATTTTGTTTCTGTCCCACTTGAGATATGGCTCTCATTTCCAGGTATTAATTTCACAAGTTCCCAAATGAGATTCCTACTAGTGAGAAAATGCTTTTTATTCTATGAACATTAAAAAAAAAAAAAAAAAAAAAAAAAAACCTGTTGTTTTTTTTAACATTCTTTACAAGATTTCCATAGTATCCACACTTACACAGATTAAATATAATAAAGCATAGGCTAAACAGAAGTAAATACTTACTTCTTCTCTAAAAAGATATCTAACCTGAAAGACAGGCTTCTGTGACTGATTATAGAAATTATCTTACTATCAAATAAGACTTAACTGACAAGACTATTTGTCACATTTTCACGGTCACAAAATTATTAGCTTCGCTACTTTAGGGAAACTCACAGTTGTCATGAATGGTAAAAAAATGCATGTGTGAATGTCTTAGGAGACTAAATCCATTTTTCAAAAGTGTTTTAGAGTATGAGTCAATTGAATTTTGGACCCTGACAATGTCAGTTGCATTTAAAGACAAGATTTACACTTCTAAGTCTCTTGGGTGATTCCCAATAGTTTAGCAGAGAACTTTTTTTTTTCCCAAAAATCCTTCAACATGAAAATAACACAGTAAACATAACAACTGAAAATGTGATTTGTGTGTGTGTGTTATTATTTTGTAGGTGTTTGGTACTTACACGCTGAAAAGGGAAAAAACATTCAACTGCATTTTCAGGTCTTTGATCTGGAAAATATTCATGATGTAGTTGAAGTCAGAGATGGCAGAGGACCAAATTCCTTACTTTTGGGCAAGTAACAGCACTGGGTACTAAGATGAATGTAATCAGACTGCTGGAGCAAACTGATGGATATAACAGAAAGAAAACTAATTCTATCTAAATTCATTCTATATTTCTTCACATTTTTGGGTCTCAGAAATTCTGAGGAAAACTTGAGGAAGTCTACTGTATCACATTTCCCAAATGTTTGCATACACTCAACTTTCATTGCAATCCAAATAAACTTGACTTCTCAATAAGTAAGACTGCTCATGTATGTGGAGAAACAGAAGCATAATCTCTTAGCTGAACCTTATTTTTCTGTAATGAGATGTCAGATTTGGGGTTGAGCTTTGACCACTGTAGGCTGAGAGCAGCTAGGTTTGGGGGAATAACTGTATTCATGTGGTAGCAGTGTTTGCTTTTGAATACAAAACATTTTGAGATGTATAAGAACAAAATAGCTTAAATGTATTCATGTTCTCCTGAAGAACAGCTGTCTATACAGGACAAGACCCATTGCCAGATGTCTTCTCTACAACAAACCAGATGACAGTAATCCTTCTTACGGACAAGTCTGCAACAAAGAAGGGATTTCTTGCAAACTTTACTACTGGCTACCATCTAGGTAAGCATATGAACCCTTGTATATAAGAGGTTATAGCACTGGTCAAATACATTTGAGAAAAAGTGAAGAGTGGAAGGTGACTCTGCCCTTGTTCAACAGAAATATGAAGAAGTTAAAGAGAAAAAGCCTAGCAGTTACTCATCTGTACTTTATGTTTTCTAGCATGAAAAGTGACTTTTTTGTTGCTTTAATGTAACTGGATCGATGTCCACATCATCTGTAACCCTGTGTGATATTATGTGAAAAATTGACTCAATAACTTGACCAGAAACTATTCAAATATAAAGAGAGCAAATGTAAACTATTCCTTATACAAGCCCCAGAAAAGAACATAATGTTGTGACTCATTTGAGAATGTCATTACTGTGTGTCAAAATGCATCTGTAAAATAATTATTATCAATCACATCCACTAGAAGAGAAAAATGTATATAGTGGTTGATTAATATTTGCAATACAGTTCTCCTTGCATCTTTAAAAATTTAGTCCTTAGTGTGTGGAGGATCTGAGAAGAGTCAGTCTTTTAAATATTTGGACAGCAGTGTTTCTGGTCCCAGCCAGTCCCTTTCTGAAAGACTCTCGGTTTTACTGGGGACTGCAATTAGACTTGTCACTCATACAAGTAATTCAGCAATCAGCTCTCCAAAAACATTAAAAATGTAGCCAAATGTTAAAATACATGGAACAGCAATATGCTTACCAGGACAAATACTTACACTAACTCTAGGCTAAATCGTGATAGAATTAATTAGAGGCTTTGCATTAGTTCTGTGGAAGTCTGACAGCAGAAAAAAAGAGAATGAAAAAGCAGTATGTATTCAGAGATGTGTGAAGTACGATTCATTTGCATGAACAGAAAGTCAACAAGGATCTATGCTCTTTTTCTTACTTTACATATCATAAAAGGCGTGTCTCCCAGCATGTTTAGCTAGCTGCAGATTTTTCATAGATTAACAATAGTAATATTTTCTTAATCTTTAAAAAAATCTTAAGCATTGATTTACCTTTCTAAAATCAACTCCATTTAGTCTCATTGTGCAAGACTGAGAGGTAGGTTTGTATGGATGTATGACCATTTTGCTGCTTCTTTTTCTGCATTCTCTATCTCATTTTTTCAGTCCAACAACACTATGCTTTTTTTTTTTTTTTTTTTAGCTGGTTTAGTGTCTTTGCTGAGCCAGCTTTGTCCATATATTGTTGTAAAATAAAAATTAAGCTTAGCAATGTAGAGTTTTCAAAGTGGCCATTGCCAGTTCTGGTTAAATATATTAAAAAGGTCCCATTTGAAAAAGAATTATGCTTATTCATGATCTTTGCAGCCAAGGGACAGAGACTAATAACATTAGCATGCAGGCCCAAGGATAAAAGGATTGTTAGTAAATAAATTAATTTTACAAGAAAATCAGATTTTTCTTTGTATTTTATTTTTTCTATGAAATATTGAGTTTTTGAAAAGGAAGCATAATTTGAAAAGAAATACTTTTTGGCAGTATACAATATAATAAAAAACCTGTCTAAGTGAGAACAAAGTTCTAAGGAAAATCTGGCATCAGTTATAGCCACTGAATGTGTGAAAATCTGGTTCAGGCCTTTTATAAACCATACTCTTTTGCTTCCATATTGTGCAACAGGCCATACTGACTGATGAATTAATCATTTTATATGAATATTGAAAATTCAGAAGCAAAGCAATTATCTTGCCTTAAATAAGACTTCTAGATAATTAAATGTTTCAGTCAGTTAAGTCCAGGAAGGTAAAATAAAGAAAATAAACAATTTTTCAATAGAATCTAAGTTTGTGACTGTGTATTTCCTGTAAATATATAGAATCGTAGCATTAAAAATATGCTTTGGCCATAGAAAGAATTATAACTTTATATATACTCTCTATCTGATCTGATTTTGTTACATAACTGACACTGAAGTATCTTAATTCTACTTTTGTGAATGCTCTCCTCATTCATTTCTGTTACTTTTGTCTCTTCTGCCTTTCGTCCCAGGCAGGTTTCAAAATGAGACTCTTGACATTCAGTGCTTCTTTACTTGTATGTTTGATTTGACATATTTTAAGGTTTTTATACTTTTATGAAAGTGCTGAATGAAAGTGTTGAACATCTGATACATTAAATCATTAGTCACTTTTGACAATATTTGATCAGGATTTGACTTTTCCCATCTCTCCAGAGTTTATTACGTGTAACAGAAGAACATTGGTAACTGAGCAATGCTAACTATAGCAGAAACCACAAGGTATAATACCACAGATTTTATTCTTAATTAACTTCTATTTATCTGAAAATAATCTTTATTTGGAAAAAGACATGCATAGGAAAGGAAAGAAAATTAAACCAAAGGTTCTGCATACTATCCACTCAATTTTTCTTTTAGGTAAACTGTATGATCTCCAGTGAACATCAACCATCCTTGTAATTACAGATTCATTTTTCTTTCTTGTTTTCCTTCAGGAGCTTGTGCAATTGACGAGCACCAGTGTGGTAGTGGGGATTGTATACCATTGCATAACCTTTGCGACAACCTACCCCAGTGTGAAGATGGATCTGATGAAGCAAAGTGCAGTAAGGTTTCTTTCATACAAAGAGAAGGAATGCATGCATAATTAATAGGAACTACCTAGGAAAACAGCCACAAAACGTCAGCTAGCTTAAACTACTGCACCTGCATGCAGGCAGTACCAATTTACACAGTGGTATCTCATTGAGTTTGTCAGGGCCAAAGAAAAAAAAAACGTTATTTTTCAGAGTTAGTGTATGTAAGATGGTGAAGAAGTTCCTCTGTGCTTAAAACTGTGGCTGCTTATAATGGCCTCAAAACTAAAGCATTACATGCTTTCCTTCTGTATCTATTTTCTATTCCCAAATTCTATCACTTGTTGCTGTAATTAATTTGAGTTTCACAGCAGTATAAATTCTGCCATGTACTGTAGAGAATAAGAGTCTTCTTGATGGAAATTCCCAGATAGTCTTGTGGGTGTGAAGCCACACTGCAGCATGTGGCACCCTCCAGCCTGCCTGGACTCCATCTTGTGGAGGCATTGCCACAGGGTGAAGGGATGGCAGAGCTGCAAGAGTAGCATCCATTGCTCATAGTGGATGTGGATGCTCCTACGAGGAGGCAGCTTTAGTGCACTTAACTATTTTGTTGCAAACATATTCTTCCTTTAAAATTCATAGAATAAAATTTACTTCAGCTTCTTCTTAAGCAAAGAGGACTTCAGTGGGTTTTTCCAGTCATTGCTAAAGAAGATCTGAACAAGGTAACCAACATCTACATTAATATGATGTACATTTCCCCAGAGATTTATTTTGCCACAGATTATCTATTACTTCACAACAAATTACCTCACACTGGGAGAATTGTTTCCAAAAACCCATTTAATCCAAAGGTTGGCTGAATCCATCTAAGCTTTAAAATAAAATGAAAATTCAATTAGGCATCTTCCTATTGAGTCTTTCCAGTGTCCAAAAATCTTGCTCATTTTCCTGACACCAATTTCTGTTTCTTATCAGAAGTGGCAATTTGAACTAGACAAATGGTCATTTTCAAATACTCCAACTTCTGAAACTTCCCAGAGACTGCAAAGAAAGGGCATAGGATACCTCTTCCTTTGCAAAATTCTAAAACGTATGACATTTGAATGAAGCAGTTGTTGAGTGCTCAATGACTCTTTTATTCCTTACCAACAGTATATTTGGAGAAGAATATGGATCTGATGAGGAAAAAGGAAAAAGAATTATAGTTCAATTAGAAGAGAGGAGAGGTATCAAAAGTAATTTGGAGAAACTTTGCAGTACAAAAAATTCTGAGATTTTTCAAGACTGCTTGAAAATTTCTCATGACTGAAGTTTACCATTAATTAATCACTGTATATCACTTCATTCATGCACTCTGGGTGTCAAAGAGGCATTTCTAAAAATCAATTTTTTTTTTTTTTTTTTTTACTATAGTGGGTATGCTTTACTTTTTTTGTGGAAAAGGGTTTTCTGAGTGACTAAGATTTAGAAAAAATAATATCTTGTCAACCAGTAAATGCATTGTATGTTTTTCTCTATTTCATGATGGCAATAACTATCATATGTCTGAAATGCAACTGTAGCTCCTGAAGCATATATGGGATTATGTTGACCTTCTTAAACCTTATGGTCCAAATTTCTTAGTCACTATGCCAATAGATTTTTCACCAAATAATTAATGAGTTTCTGAATATTTTATTTTGGGAAAAGTTTTGATAGAAATATTGATTTTCAGGGAGCTTTTATTGTTTTTGTGGGTGTTTTAAATAAAGCTGCAATGAAAACAGTGAAAATCTCATAGCAGTTGGAACTGGAAAATTCCATTTTTTCTGTAAGCTCAGGTTTTAACTTTATTTCCAATCAGTGTTACTGAGCATTGTGTGGTCAAAGCTTCACAGAGTATCTGGAAATTACATAATGCTTGCTAAGAAAAAACATTGGTTCAAGTTGATGGATAATGTACTGTTTATTGTCTGGTCACGAAACATTTGCAAAATACGGGGCATGAAATTCTCCTGTGGCAGAAATGTAGAAGGAGATAACAATAACATTTCCTTCCTCTAGGAACACAATGTCCTGGATATGGTGGCGTTATTACCACTGTAATGTATTCTTTTTTTTTTTTTTTTTTTTTCTTTTCTGGCAATAATAAATCTCTGTATATTACATTTCTCTTTGTTTGGGGTGAGGGAGAGGGTGGTTTACCACCTATCTAAAATGCTTCTGTCCATTTTGGTCTACAGTGAGATTGCTTAATGGTTCTCTAAGCACTGAAGGGCTGGTGCAGGCCAGGATTGGGAAGACATGGCACCTGGCATGTGCATATGATTGGAATGAGCAGATTTCAGACAGTGTTTGCCAGCTGCTCGGGTTAGGGTAAGTGAAAAATACTCATTGTCCTTGTAACTTGTTTGTAGGTTTGTTGAGTCTGTATATTGGTGTTTTCCTCATCATTTTATTGGTGTCTTTACCATCTAGAGAAGGGGCAAATGTATTTTTCTGTGGTAAGTGAAGTGTTTGGTGTGCCAACAAATTTGTAAGTGTTGCAAACCCTATTTTGATGGCATTCATTACAGGATTGATGACTTTGAATGTGGCAGATTAGGCATGAGGATATATATTGGAGAACAATGGGAGACTGATATGGAGGCATTAGTCTTTTATCACTTTATGTCATCATTTACATCTTCAGTTTTATGAGGATGACTCAAGAGTAAAGCTGGAGCAAACAGCAGCCTCAGTTGCTCTGCTATCATACTAATGTTCATTTCAAGTAAATTCAAGATAATCACTTGGGTATTCTGTTGTTGAGGTCCCGATACATTTTATGCCTACCATTACACCTGAGCTGTTGAGACAGGAAACTGTATATATCTTGAGGTATACTTAGAGGGGCGAGGGAGGAGGGAAGCATATGACTGAAAAAATAGATTTGGCTTCAGTCACTGTTCAGCAGAATTTCCAGGGAAAAGGCAGGCAGAGTTGAATGCAGAAGTGTTCTATTTCTCAATCTATGGTAAAATTTATGGCCTAAATTCTGACCTTACTTGCACTGTATGCAACTTCACTGCCGTCCACTGAATAATAAATAGCTTTCCTACAGTGCTGAGGTTTTTAGGGAATGTCACTCATCCAAGTAATAATCAAATCAAATTCTAAGCTTGCAATTCATTATGTTGGTCTCTGACCAAAATAGGATGCCTGAAAAATGTCCTTTTGATAAATTAATTATAGAAATCACAGAGTTAGGAGGACTTAGAAAAATATCCAAGTGTTATCTGAAAATAATTTTAATCATTGGATGAATGTGTGCTGGTTCATTTTTTTACTTTTTTCCCTTTGGGTAGGTACTGCATTTCCATAAATATCAGATACCTGCAAGCACAAATCCTGCTTGTAATTTATGTACGTAGTTATCTCATTTACACATGCATATAAGAGCATACAAACTATGACTGTTATTCTAGCTAAATATGTTGTCTTTTACAGTAGACAGTAGCCTTCTTCCTCTGATTCCTCCTCCTCTTTGCCTGCCTTCTTTCCCCCTATATCTTTCAGACAGTAGTTATTTTGTGGTATATTAGTTACTTTATATTTGATATGCTTCAGTGAACTTTGTCCTCCATGGTACTTTCTATTACCTTTTAAAAATTACTTATGTTTTTGTCTCCATAATATTCTGTGGCAATACGTTTCAGTTTGTCTCTAAAAACTAGTCAGATATACTTGATAAAAAGATTCCTATTAAGTTTCCCAGTTACTTCTTGTTAATTCAATTTCTCAGTTTATTATATATTCCAATTGTCAAGAAAAAGTATTTTTAAACCTAAATTACATCACATTCTTGTATCCTGGATATTACTGCTGTTACTGATCATACAGAATCGGATAAAATTCTCATATACATATAGAGATGTATCACTTCTACAAGCATCATTCTATTTCTGCCTTCTATGAATCCCCCCGTAGCACCATATTCATTACTAAATGGATGTTTGTAATAATATGTCTTGAGTAGGCTGTAGCTCATGCTCCTATACTGAATAATCACCTAGAATCATACTTTATTAGAGAAAGAGGCTAAGGTTCATCTAGGACAATTCACTTCTGCTGTTAATTGCTTATACATTTGCTAGTCTCATTTACTGTTCAATTTATGAAAAGGACTGAAATGACAGGAGTCCTGTAGCATATCCTGATTATTTATGTAGCTGGGCTAGAAAGTGCAATGTTCCACACAGATTCTAAAAAATCACACATGTGATCCTTTTGCCTCCGTTTTTCAAATATGTGATTGTTGCATTCATGATATGTGCCAAACAGGAAGCAAATCTGGAGGCACGCCTATGTGTTAATCTACAAAAAATATTTTAGGCACATTATTTACAAATATTCGTAATGAGTCTGGAGTGCAAGGTGCACAAATTGATGCTCTTGAGAAACCTGAACAAGATCCTTTGCTCAGCTTGCAATTATAACTCTCTGCATCTGACAACACTGTTATAGTCTGAGTATTGTTAGCATTGCTTTTCCTTGAACCAACAAAATCAGACACTGAGCTTTTCACCATTCTACTGGTCTGGTGTGAAACATGCTTGTTTCCTTGGAACCATAGTCAGATGGGTCTTTACTGAAGTATACCAGAAAGTGGGTTAGACCTTGCAATTTTGCCATACCCAAAAGTCCAATAAGGACTGAGAGTTTAGGCCTTGTTCTCAAACCTGCAGTCTATTTTCTTCATGAACTCACAAAATTCTTCTTTTGAAAAGGAAATGAGTTCACTGGAATACAATGTCTTGTTTGAGACTTCCAGGTCAATTAGGTTTTCATCCTCCCCACTTACGAATGGTCAGAAGTAGCTACATGCCTAGCTCCTTGAGACACCACAGGAACTCCTGTCTTTGACTGCCAGACTCAGGTTCTTCAGTGCACTGAGAATGTAACATATGGACTGAAAGGGGTGAAAATGATCCCCCAACATTTATGCACAAAAACTTTTTATTCTGATGGATAAATTAGGATATAATATACAGACAGCATGATCTTACTCTGCTGTGGAGCCAATGAGAGTCATGTGCTGGATGTAAGAACAAACCTGGTTCTCAGTGTGTTCAGGCTGTATTTGCAGCATTGAGGATCAGAATTAAGACAATTCTAATGATTTGGTGGTAGACTTAATTTCATGTCCATTATCACCAAGTAATAAAGTGCACTTTGACCTGAAAGCCAAAGGAGAAGTCTTGATCATTTTTTCGGATTTGTAGCTCCACAGCTTCACTTAGTATCAGACACTGCTAGTAAGCTTGGCTTAAACCCAATACTTAAAAAGCTTCATTCTAAACCCAGAAAGAATAGAGGGGTTACTTTTATTATCATTTGCAAATTTTCTTATAAAAAATTGTGTGCATGCAAGCATTTAGAAACCAGCAGATTTTCATATGAATCCAAAGGTGAACAAAGCTCTTTTATGTAAAAAAAAAAAAAAAAAAAAAAAAAAAGTATTGGCTATTTGCAATTTACTGCTATTCTTCATTGTTTGTTTTTCTTTCAGAAAATCAGCAGTTGAAACAGAAACACTGCCCTGTGTCTCAAACACAAATTAAACAAACTGCAAATATCCCACAGCCTGAGAACTAGACAATGAATTACAAAATGTGTGAACATATTATCTTCAAATAAGAAATGTGATGTTTGGTTTTGTCTTGTTTTTTTGTTTTTTTTTTAAAGGAGAAAAGAATTGTAGCTGTCAGACAATTGCATTTCTATCCTTATTCTGAATATATTTTTCAGCATGGTACCACATAATCTGAATCTTTCCCAACATTTGCTACAGCTTATTGTTACTGATCACATCTGAGACAGAGCTTGAGACTGAAATCATAGTGATCCATAGAGTATTTAGGTACTTGAGGATGAATAATATCTGAGGAATTTATTGCACAGATACCTATGTACGTCTCTGTGTAAGACACCTCTAATACTATTTAAGTTTTCTGTAAATTTTGCCTAGTGAGCATGCTGAATGGAATGAGGGCTACTTAACACCTAGGTTAGCTTTTAAAGGCCATTTCTGTTGCAATCTGCAAGATTTCTAAAAGCTTGTTTTATTAAATTAAAGAGCTGTGACACTGTATTTCTGGACCTGCAGAAGAAAATATATTATTGTTACTGGACTGAATATCTCCAGAAAAAGTGTATGATTTCTTATACTTACGTAACTCTCATCATTTACCAGTAAGTTAACTAGAAGAGTAGCAGATTGATTTTTGTGGTCACTCATAAGGCTTAGAGATTTCCAGTTTTATTTTCTTTAGCACACTAAGAAGCCAAATGAAATTATAAAAGATTTTCTTAAAAAAGGACTTAGATTTTATTTCACAGAGCTGGGGAAACTTAATAAAGCCGCTGTGGTTTCATATAAGTTCCAAACTGTAATCCAGAAATTTCAGCATTTATTAAAAAAAAAAAAAAAAAATCAAGCAGAAGAGTGGGAAATAGTTTGCTCAGTCTTTGCTGAAAAAGACCAAGAAAGAAGCTGAGGTGAGATGAGAGATCTTCATAAGTATTACGAGGTTGGTGAAAGCTTTGACTTGGAAGGTTTATAGCATTTGCCCTATTATAGGGTCTGTTACAGTAATCTAGTAAAACACACATGCGTTCAGTTGAAGTTTCCTGGTATAATATGCCATGGAAAATGTAAGCCAGTAATATTCATATATGTCCATACTCTACATACTCTAAGCTTTTCCTGGTAGCGTGTTCATTTTTTTACATCAGTAAAAGCTCTTGCTCACTAACTTTCTCAAGACACAACTTGGTTTCTTTTTCACATATTTGCACTTACTGTGGCTCAATGATTAAATTGGTCTCAGTGAGGTTCCTTATCATAGAATTTGACTCTACCTACCTGGGTTGGCACTTTACAACTCTCCTAGATCATCTAAAAGGTCAAGTCGGGGTTCTGGGGTAATTACATATTAGTATACTAGTGTTTTATGTTGAAATAAGTCTGTAGACTAGGCTAGAGTGTACAGACACTCTCTCTTTTTATAGAGATATATATCTAGAGAGAATTAAGTGGGCTTTGTCATCTCCTGGTTGAGAAATGCTGCAGTAATGACCTTTTCAGTAGGGTGCAGCATACACCTCTCCTAGTGGCACAGCAGGGCTATTGAACACCCACTTTCTCCTATGCCTAGTGTTGCTCTCCACAAACAGCAGATTTGCAGGAAGATTCTCAACTTCATACTTCCCAGGAGAATGAGATTTACTGCACTTAAAGAGAAGAGATGGTACTTCCCTCATACACAGGTGTTCCCTGTGTATCAAACCTGCACAAGAAGTTCTCTTCTTGCTCCTGAGATATATATGGCTAAAGGATCAGATGGGACTAGGCTGTCACCCCTGCAAAAATTTATCCAGTCTGACCACACCTATCCTTTTTCCCCACACTTCCTCAAGAGAAAGCAAGTTTTTTTCTTGGGTGTATGTTCCAAGCTCTTCATATGTAGTATCACAAAGTATATGATGCAGAATGGGTTATAAAGTAAATCTGGATATGTGTTGTAAACACCAAAACAATTTATCTCACCAGTAGTACACAGCATTCTTGGTGTTCAGAAGGCCATCATTATAGAAAAAGTTAGTCAAGGAGTACACCCCACTTCAGAGGAACTATCCTATTCAATAGCAAATGTGACATCCTTGACTTACTCCAGTTACTTTGATTTCAACAGGTCTATGAGGTGAAATTTAACCTCTAAGGAAGGTAGCATTTATTCCATTAGATTCTTCATGATATAAAATATAGATTCATTTTTTCTCTAGGTAAAGAACTATAGTATCAATGCAATCACACACACACATCCCAAAAGCAAAACTCTGACGTTCTACTATTACTGTTCTATTTTGCATATTAAGATTTAGCTTCATATATTTAAGAATCGGTACTGCAAAACCTTCACTGTGGCACAGAAAAGCAAAAATTGATAATTTATTGCTATTAAAATAATGAATTTCTGTCTCTTTCAATATTGTTGTAGCATTAGAAGTCTTACAATAATATGTAAGCATGAAAGTAGGTGACTGGCATTTTAATCCATTTCAAGGCATTTCAATCCATTTGAGCCATTTCAAGACTCAAAAATCTACCAATACGTAGTCATTATTTCAGGAAAAAAATGCAGTTCATTCCATCATCATCATAATTTCCCAAACATTACTCCACTGGTGGAACAGGATAAATATCTAAAAATATGCTTGTGTGTCTTTTCCTTGCAGGGATGCAAATATGTCATCAACTGTATTATTCGCTGGAGATGGCCCATTTGTCAACATCATCGAAGCAGCTAACCACAGCCTAATATTTACAAAAAGGTGCATATAGTGAGTTTTCTTCCTCATACAAAGGATAATTTAAAGTATGATGGTGATCATTTAATACACTAATTTCTAGTTTATCTGAGGGGTAATGTGATTTTGTATGAGGTCTGGACTATAAACTTATCTGTTTTATCCTCTGCTTACTGCTGAATTCTGTGAAACATCAGGCAACTCACTCTTCCTCCTTTCATACTTGCCCATCTATTGTAAATTTAAAAGCAGAGGGATGCTTACTATATTTTTAGCTAGCGTTCAGTACAATATTAAGTCTTTATACATTTATCGTGTAAATGATAAATACTGCTATTTTTACAAAACATTTATTATCTAGAAATCTCTAGACTACGAATATATAATATAATAGAAAAATTAAAATGGAGTGGCATTCACCCATGGTTTTATAGTAGTTATCACACCAGGTTCTCTCAGTAATCAATAGAAAAAAATAAGCTGTCCAAATTGTGATCCATCAAGGCATTCCTTGAAATATGATGAGTCATACTCTATAATCCATTGATGTTATTAATGCAGATTTAGAACTAAGTGTGGATTGCTAAAGTAAACAATCCACAGACAGTTATCTATATTTAGACAAATTAGTCCCACTCAAAAAATTACTTCTGGATTTGACTCCACATTTAGAAATGAATCATTAGATGTGATGATCCTCAGAATATATTTGATTATATTCAAATCTTTCTCATTTCAAGTAACAGCTGAAGTGATTCTGAAGGGTCCTACAAACTGGTAGAATTTCTAATAGATTAAATGAAAATGTAAAGTTAGCACAGGATTATATTCTCAGGAAATTTGGGGATTTACAGTACACCTCCAAAAGGAGAAAGGCTTGTCATCATCAAATAAAAAAATTATATACATAATTACTTCAATTACTGTCTTTCTGCTTATAGGAGGGTTTATTATAATCATTTTTCTGGAATCCTACCAAAAGCACTGAGGCAGAAAATTACTGTCTAATTGCTAAAATGCTGAAACCATATTGAGGATGGCAAGAGTACATGTTCTTTCAGGTTTCCTTTGTAAACATACCACACAATAACAAAGCAGGAGATAATTCTGAATTTGCTATGCTGTATTTTACCTACAGTAAAAAAAAAAAAAAAAAATTAAAAAGATACATTTTATGTTATAATTATAATGTTAATGCCAAACATTTATCATTCTCACTGGTAGTTAAAGTATCTTAAACTAATGGAATATCATTGCAAGCTATTTTTCTTTTCTTCTTGAGTGGATGTCTTAACCAGCATTACAACAAGAGATCTTAAAGAGCATCAATGATTTAAAGATGTCTTTTGTTAATATCTATTAAACACTAAGAAGTGACTAATGCAGGAGGAAATGGAATAGGTTCATTCATCTTAGTTGTATTTCTGTTGCAGAAATAGGTATCTTCTACCACATTTCATCTGGACAGCTGACAGCTGATAGGAATCATTTTACAGGGTGACACCATTACAGATTCGCACACTTTTTTTGTACATATAGTGAATGATAGAAAGATCACACAGAATTGATAATTAAAAAATTCAAATTCATTAACTGATGACCCAAGTCTAAAATGTATTTCTCACGTTGTCTTTGGTCTTTATTTAAGCATAACTGCCATTGAATCAAAGGAGGATGCATATACTTGAAAGCTGTAGCTGCAGAGACAGCAAAACTGTTCTCTGATGCCCTTAGGTAATGTATTTCTTGGCAGGATAGATTTGTAACGGGCAAAATCCTGTCTCGAAGATATATGTGAGCAGATTCCACAGGCATAATTGCTTTTGCCAGTCCTAAGTGAAGATCATACTCACAGATGTCCCAACTACTCCAGATTTCTGTCTGGCATGCTGCTTCATAGATGACACTCAGAGAGGCACAGAGGATGGGTATTCAGCACATGCGATGCCTCTGTTGCCTTCTGGACTCTCTTGTGCTGACCAAAAGGCAGCTGAGGACTGGTGAATTGGAGTGCTGGAAGGGAAGTGATTTTCATACTGGGTGCCAAGCTTCAGAAAGAAGAAAAAGCAAAGGTCCATGAAGTAATTTCTACTAAAGCAATCAGTAGGTACTGCTGGTGGGACAAAGACCCTCGTTGTTAGTTTCGCTAGTTTATGCATCTACCTAAGAGAAAGCATAGGACTGGATAAAGGAGCTAATATACTGTACCACTGACCATCCTTTTAAGGCTCATGGAAGGAGCTTGGTCAAAAGTGTTTAGTTGCTATGAAGTTTATGCAGAGGATGGTATTGGTTTCCTGTGGGTTTATGCATTTCTGGTTGCCCTCCTTGATGTTTGTCTCACTACCAAGCAACACCTTTATCAAGTCAATACTGATTTGAATGCAAATTACAGAATTTGGTTTCCACTTTTTAAATTACAGCTTTAAAATTATGCATCTGTCTTGAAGTGGAAAATGGCTATGTGAGATTATTCAGGGCTGGAGGCGTATCTCATTCTTAAGCCCTCTGCAGTAAAGATTTAACTGGGGAGGTGGGAGATGGCTATATTCCCACTTGTCCTTCTTGCACCACTATGCCATTGTGAAAATGCTGGGTCACATCATGCATTATTTCCCTCACAACAGATATCAAATTTTAGAGCATACACAGTTAGGGATACATAACACCGTATCATGTTTGAAGTATCCTTCCCTTTTTCCATTTAAAAATGATATGGAAATGCATACTGTAAACTAGCCATGGGCAGACTATTTTTTTTTTCTCTGATATATTTCAGTGTGTATCAGATTTAAATTCCTAGCACACACAATGTCCCAAATGTTCAGATTCATTACAAGCTATGAAGATAATCTTAAAACCTCTGGGTATCGGAAATGCTTGAGTGGTTTTGATCTGTGGTCTTATGCTCTTCAGACTCTGGCTTTATATCTCTGCTAAATAGTTTCTAGCCCTGTATATGCAGCTATATATTTTACAGTACATTATAATCTTAGTAAAAAGATACAGTGATATCAAAATAACTTCTTAAATTCTTTGGTCATACTGATCTCTAGTGGTAAGGCACTGAAAACACCACAAAAGATAGAAAAAATACCATATGCAATTACAGTTTTATTGAGAATCTGTCAGACAGATGACTCATTTCCCTAAAACACAAGGGGAGTTTACGTTTATTTCTGCAAGATACACCAATTAAGTGTCCATTGAAGAGGAATATGTACATTTAGTATTATATATAATATAATTTTGTGTATTTATAGATAAAATGTAATTAAAACATCTAGAACAAAATATTATATTTAGCAGTTTGATACTGATAATGTACTTATATATATCTATGCTTATATACATTTTTATGTATGTGTGTGTGTATATGTATATTTGACAGCCATTTAGTGTTATCTGGTGTGCAGATATTTGGGATTTAATTGCACTTTCATTCTAGAGAATACTGTTTGAACAACCTGGTGGTTCATCTGCAATGTAACATTAAATGTAAGTACATAAACCCTGGGAATATTTCACAATCAAACTGTTCAGTTCATAAAGCCTAATGTTTATAGTTTGAATTGAAAGGTTAGGGAATGGACTATAAAAGCGATACTCGTAATGATATAAACACAGGAAAATTTACAGTCTTCACTTGTTTTCAGAGTTAGGTATAAACTAGAGATGGGTCTATACTGAAAACACAAACATAAAGAATCCAGAAGGTCTGAGGAAAGAACACATCTAAATCTAAGTTATAAAGTTGCATCTTGATTTCAGCTATAAAACACCAAACTTTTTTCCACAGTAATCGTATTTCTGAATAGCAGTTTAGATACTACAAAGCCTATTTATCCGAGAATATTAGCTAGTCTAATAAAATATGCCATATCCCCCTAAAAAAATCCACTTTTTTTTTTAAACACTTTAGCTTGTGGAAAACATCTGGTAACTCAGAACAACGGAACAAGGATTGTAGGTGGAAGTGATGCCAGAAGAGAGGCTTGGCCTTGGATAGTTTCACTTCATTTTAACTCCAGACCTGTTTGTGGAGCTTCCCTCATAAGTGATGAATGGCTGGTGACAGCAGCACACTGTGTATACGGGTAACGTTTGTTGCACTCGCAAGCTAACGCGTTCTGATACTCCCACAACATGCAAGTATCCAAATGGTGGATAGTTGTTCAGCAAAACTGGGTTGAGGTATGACCTGAGCCATCGATCAGTCCTGTATAGAGCAAAACATACTTCCAAAGGATCATAATGAAATCACTGGGGAGCGGCACTTTTAAGAGAGTTTCTAGATGTTTACCTTACAATGCAACGAATATAACCAGAAGTGCCTCTTTCTCTCCACTGACTCCAGGGCATCCTTCCAGCTAGCTGAGATGGCCGTATGATATCCATGCCGTGTCTTGTCTTTTTTATTTTAATGATGATGAAACACTTGTTTTATGTGCAGGTTCACTAAGGACGCATCAGAAAATGAGTAATTTGTGACACAGATATAAAAAATTAACAGCTAGCTGACTGTTTAATTTCTGTGTTTTTAATCACATGTGAGCTCAACTAAAGGCTCCTTTACTTTCTGGTAAACCCTCAGTCCTTACTTTAAAGCAGAGAATCATAGAAACAAAGCGACATTTTCTGAACAATGGAGAATTGCACTTTAAATATATGGTATTAATACCGAGCACTTGCACTTAACCCATGATTAATGTGGGCCTCCACTATTTAGTTGAATCTCTGCTAGGGGTGTAAAGGATGACATCATACCTGATAAAGGTAAACTCAGCGTTGCCTGTTCCTCCTGTATATTATCATAGATTGATCACGAGTTACTGTGCATCATTAGAATGAATCTTGATTTACGGGCATTGATTAGGCAACATTGGATATCCTCTAGATGGTGTTATTTGTACTATTCAAATAAGTGATGCATATTTAAATGTTTTCTAGGGTTTGTTTCCATAACATCTGTAACAAAAACAAGTGCTGTAGAAGACACCTAGAAACTGGAATGGCAAAAAAAGAAACATTAATATTCAAGATTACAGTAGAGCTTTCATTATAAATAGCTAAGTAGTAAGGCAGTAGAGACTATGCCAAATATTAATGCTGTCTCATGGCATAGCAGAAGCCACATTCCACACCAAGACACTGAAATGAAACAGATCAAGCCCTCTTAGTTTTCACACAATAAATCCACACCTGTCTTGATACTTCCTTTTCACTTAAATCACCTTTCTGTTTTCACTTAAATCTCTTTCTATCATCTTGACTTTTCTGGACTTTTCCTAAGTGACAGTTTGCAGTTTCACACCTTAATTCTGAACATTTAGCTTAAACGCTCCTAGTTTAGAATGTGATAACCTCTTGATGTCAAACCAAAAGATCAGCAGAAACCAGTTCAGTACAACAATCAGGCTGAAAACATACTTTTGAAACTATGAACTGGTTGATTAAAAAACAGCAAATAATTAAGTTTTCTAACTTAAACACAGCCTCAAACCAGCATGCATATTTCAGCGAAAAATGCAGATTGTCATATTTTGTCTTAGCATATCTTTTTTTATTTAGATTAAAAAATTAAGAGACCAATTTTCTGAGCCTATGAGCTGCAACATTTCCAATGACATTTTAAACCTATCATTTTTTAGGTATTCCATAATCATTTTCTAACTGGGACCAATATTAATTGTCTGGTGGGCAGTCAGCAGTATTCTTCACAATGTTTAAAAAGCCATAGTAATTTAGTTAATGTAGTTCCCTCCTCTGCACTACTGTCTGACTAAGTCTTTATAAATAATTTATTGTAAGCGTAACATAAAAAATCAACCACATGTTGCTACAGTGTGGATGTTTAAGATAGTATTACTATCACAAAATTGTAAGCATCTCCACTACATGCTACTTAGACAAAACATGTGAATGCTATGAATTACCTTGAGGTTAAAGATCAGCCTTTTACCTAATATATTTTTCAAAACTTTCATTAATTATTCCAAATTGTGAATATTCCTTGCAACTTCTAGGAGGCAATTAAAACCATTTCAATGGAAAGCAGTTCTTGGCTTGTATGACCAATCAGATATGACACAGCCTTCAACAGTAGTTCGAAACATCAATCAAATAGTTATAAATCCTCATTACATGAAGCGTACAAAAGATAGTGATATTGCTCTCATGCATCTTCAACACAAACTGCAATATACAGGTGAGCTGTTATTTTCCCATAAAACAGATTTACTCTATTATGCAAAACTCTAGCTGTGCTAAGCATATGAGGGTGATGGGGTGGCTGTACATTTTTTACAATTTAATCATTCTGGCATCAGTCCAGTAATTAATTCCTGGATAGCTTGCCCCAAAAGTGGGTTTGAATTAATTAACTTTTTCTTATGTGACTTCATAAAAACCTGAATACAGGGAAGAGGTTGAAATTGATTGCTTGTTTCTCATTCACAGATTACATACAACCTATCTGCTTACCAGAAAAAAATCAACAGTTTTTACCAGGAATTAACTGCTCCATTGCTGGCTGGGGTAGGATTATCAATGAAGGTGGGTTGGTTATCTGCTTGGAAAATCATGACAGGCATGAAGCCATGAGGGAAAGCTTGCTCCTGATTCCATAGCAGTTGCTAAGGTCAAACAGTTTAGAGAGGTACTCCGTGTGAAAATTTGGGAACTATCCCCCTCCACTGTTCCTTTTCTAGAGCAAAGTAATAAAGTTATAACATATTTATTAGAAAAAAATATAGAGATCTAAGATCATTAAATTATTAAAAACCCCTTATTGCATCCCTTTAGAAATTATGATGACTACTTTTCTCAACATGAAATATGTACGATATTGGGTGGGGGAGGAGAAAGATTAGTCTTTCTGACAATGTGCAAATGATTTTCCCCAGAAGTCAAGCATACTGACTGTAGTGTGAAATGTATGTTCTGTTTGTATATCATATACTCCAGATTTGGAGTCTCTGTGAAATAATAAAAATGCCATTTCACTTCTACAGTTGCTTGTATGCATTTGCTTCTACATTTCCAGAATAAAATTGTATTTAAAACTTTGAGTAGGAATTAATAAAAAAAAATATATATATATAAAAACTTGAAATACTCAAAGTTACACAATGAACAATGAGGAAACATTGGACAATCCAAGATCCTAAAACCTTAATTATCCCCCAGATCTCCCCACAGTGAGTTTATAGTCATTGATTTTAGTAATCTTGATTTAATTATAACGGAATTCAGTCCCATTACACAAATGAAAGACAGGATTCAGTTAATGAACACCATTTAATCAGTGGCTGTGTTACAGGGGTATAAGCCTGAATAGCACAGCAGTGAGGCAGGGCTTCCTGCTGCTCTGTACCATGCCCAGCATGCTGGAACAGGCACAAAACCATCAGTGTTCTGCACAGGATGTACATATTTATTACAGCAAGTAAACGTACTTCGTATTTTCGTCAGGTCCCCCTTCAGATATATTGCAAGAAGCAGAGGTCCCTCTCATTTCAAATGAAAAATGCCAACAATGGATGCCAGAATACAGTATTACTGAGAATATGATCTGTGCAGGATATGACATGGGAGGAATAGATTCCTGTCAGGTAAATAAAAGCGACTCATTCCCACTGCCAGCATACACCACATCTAATTACCAAATAAAATGCTTCCTGATCCTTCAGTCATTGAAACCGGGACAATCTCTGTCCATGAATGTAATTTCTACTGATTATTTGCCCATTTAATCTTTTATCAGGATACAAATTGAAAAGATAAAAATCTATTTTGTATCATCTCAACATAAACAATCATGGAGGGAGAAAAATATGAGGACTGGAAATTTTCTGCACTAAGCTTTGAATAATTACTGCTGAGTAATTCCATGAAGGAAAAAGGGACATGCTGAGAGAAAAGCAGAGTACAAGGAAATAAATACCAAATAGATTGATGTCTCAGAAATGGTTCATTCTGGAAGAGACCTTTTCCCCATGATCTGTAGACTTTGGAGATTTTTAGTAAGTGGATGCCACAGGTTTTTGGAGAGGCTGACTTTCTATATTGATCTTATATAGTGCTTCTTGGGGATCTAGTTTTTATCCATTCCAGCTCTGCTTATAACACACTGCTTCTCTTTTGAGGATGTCAGAGTTGGCTGTCACATAACGTTTCTTCCATCAAAATGGAGTCCACAGCATGGAGACTGGCTGTTTCTCCTCAAGTCTGATGAGAAACTCTTTGGCGACTGAAAATAGAACTGCATTTTGGCTTAATAGATTCAGCTAAAAAATAATCCTACACATTCACCCAGGCTTTGGAAAAGATGAAGGGCTTAACATAAAAATATTAAGAAAAAAAAAAAATCATTTGAAACCCAGCCCTGTATTGGAAGATCAATAAGAGCTTAAGATCACATCCTTAAAAAAAAAAAAAAAAAAAAAAAAAGAAAAAAAAAAGAAAAGAAAAAAGGAAATTGATTATTTGGTTATCTCAAAAATTTTTCCACATGGAAGAGTTCATATTGATCTCACTAGTGGCGTCTGAGACCTATAGGGATACAAGGTCTATGATTAATGATTAACACAAACAAAACATCATAAACAGGCTCTGTTTCAGAGTTGACGCTGTTCACTCTTAACTTTTGAATGTCATATTTCAGGGAGATTCAGGTGGTCCCCTGACATCTGAAGATGGCAACAAGTGGTTTTTGGTTGGTGTAACTTCATTTGGCTATCAGTGTGCACTTCCCAAACGACCAGGAGTGTATGTTCGAGTCACCATGTTTGTGGACTGGATCAAAAATATCATCTATTAACTTGAGATTTTTCATTGATAGAAATAAAAGTTAAATGTTCAAAGTTTATTGTTTTATGATGTAAAACAGACTGACATTTGAATCAGTTACAGAAACTGAATAAAGGAGGAATAAGGGAGGAAAATACTAATAATTGAGAACTCTATTCTCAACTGAGAGCAATATTTCAAAATAGGTGCTGTGGTTTTAATAAATAGTTTAATAATTTTAATTTTTCTTTTATATGAAAACATGGGGAAACAGTTTCTTTGAACATCGGTGCATTACATGTATAGTGGAGGACTTTACAAAGCACAGGCAGATTAAAAAAAAAGTTTGCAAACTCCAAATGCTTTATTGAAAAATGGTCCAAATTATTAACTTCAGAACAAACACTACCTGATTTTATGTTTTTACATTGTATTTTTCAATGTGCATTTTTATTTTCATGCACAGTTAACTCCTTTCAGTAATCTCACCACCTATCAAAATTAAGGCATGTTATCTGTTTAAACTGGGCTCATGGGAATTTTTCTCTTGTCCATTACAAAAAGCTCTAGAATGAGGTTTATGGATTGTGCATAAAGGCTGATCATGTATCATGCTGCTTTCTAATGAATAAACTGAATGTAAGCCAAAAGTCTTGTGTAATTCATTTGGAATTAATAGAGTTAAATAAGGATTGAATATAGTTCTTTAGTTTTCTTTTCAGGCAAGTGTTTTGGCAATTATTCAAGCAATTATAGATATGTGCCTGTGTATAGCCAAGCACAGACTCACAATACTGTGACTTTCTCTCATAAAAAGTAATGTTTTTTTAAAAAACATCTGAATAATGACTATCAGCTATTCTTGGTGAATAAAAAGTAATAGGGTTCCTTTGATATATTACATGCTTTCTCTGTACTGGTAACTTTTGATGATTTTGTGCTTTGTATAAAAACTATCATGATACCTTACTGCAGCATTCTAAATGGGGAAGAATATGAAGAAAAAAAGGGGGTTTTATCTTCCTGAGATCTTTTCTAAATAGGTTTCTATTAAAATATAATTATCTACTTGTTGAAATGCCTTAAATTCAATGGTGTCTTTATGTTAGTGTATTATGATGCATCTCCTTCATTTTTGTTTTCTGCCTAGTGTAGGAATCTAATATATTTTTATTTCTAAAACACTGTATGAAAATATAAAATGCATTCTAACTTACTAGGTACCTGTATCTATACATATACACATAGATGTGTGATTTTGTAAGGAGCTCCCACACTTGGTGCTTACAACGCTAAATGCAGATATGAAGGGCTCAAAACACAAGGCTAAGTTACAAAGACAGGTTGGCAGTCACTGATAAACAAAATATCAATTCCCAAACTGTTTTCGGGTCTTCATAAGTGTTAGAGAACTAGGTCCAGACCAAAATATTTAGCAAAACATCTGTGACCACAAGGAACACAGACAGATGTAATTAAATCAGGGAGAACATAAAAGGTGTTTTAGACACCTTCTTTCATATATTACCCAGCTTAACATTTGTTAAGAAGTTGCAAATCCTATCTTTTGTAGTGGAGTACTGTTTCTCCTCTTAGTCTCCCTCACTTGAAAACAGCCACTGAAAATAAAGTGCATTCTGCTGTCAGTATAAATTGATTTGGATGAAGCAATTATGTTAAAATGCTTAATTAAAATGTGACATTTCTGCATTATTTACCATACATCACTACTGTAAATTGTATTTCAGTCTGTTAATGAAATACAAGAGCCAACTGAAAGCAGATCAAGTCACTAGGAAATGTGCTTCCCAGAAATACAGTAATATGCTTTTATTATGTGTATTTTCTGCTTCCCAAAATGCAAAGCACAGATGTATTTTCAGATGTACATTAATAAACCATTCTATCAGACAAAAAAATTTCCTATTATAAATTCTGGTATAGAACAATGTATGTAATATAGACCAGTGTAATTAAAAATAAACATTTTATTTCAACTAATTTATGTCTATATAAAGCCAACATAACCTTAGTCAACCACATTATAGCCTTCATTCAGCATCCATTACTTCAATTGTCTGAACATTAACCTGTGGGGATACCAGTCATTACTATGTTAAATTTTCAATTGAGTCACAGTTCCAAGATGTCTTGAACTAGAGGGTGGATGCTCGATGCTGAGTTACACTTGCTTGCACCCAAAAAAGGTTAAAAGATTAAAGAAAGAAACAAGAGCTTTCTCTTTCAGATGCTTCTTCCTTGTAAAAGGCCAAGATCAGTGGAAAAATTAAAAATCACATTCCCTAGGGAAAATAGGGGCAGCAGGAATATAATCTTTTTTAAATGCCACACTGAAGCCACGCCCTCCACCCAAGGACTAGATAAGGTTTACTGTTCATCCTTCAGTTCCTTGCCTCACCTACTGATGCCATTTGGAAGAGACTGAAAGGCAGTGAGCAGAAGGGAATGTGGTCACTGCGAGGGGACCCCACAGCTATATGTAAAAGCCAACAAGCTTATCCGAAGTGGCTCTAGTTGATGGTATCTGTCACCTAGATTTGGAAATAATTTTCTTTTCTCCATTCTGTAGCTTTTAACAGGAATACAAAAGACAGATGGTTGGGGGGGTTTGTTTGGTTTTTCTGTTGTTTTCTGTTTGCTTGTTTTTCTTTTCAAATAGCAATTCTGTTGCCACTAGTGGACCATGTCACATAAATTCAAAATGTTTGTTGTTTTTCTGTATTCTCTAAGCCTCAACAAAGTCCAAAGGAAATACAAGCACAATGTCTAATTTCTAGGTATTCTCTCTGTAAGTGTGTAACACACCTGTCTTTCTCCCTCTCCTCTTTTAATCCCATCTCCCTTTCATTAATGGAAATAAGGGAAATAAAGATGAAAGAATTTGTGTATGTATGGGATTTGTATGTTTTGCATGGAAAAGAATCACCAGATTAAAGGTGGGAGTCATAAGATACAAAGTTGATTTGTGCACGCTTTGCAGTCCTCCATGTAGGATTCTTGAGTTTCTTTGGATTTTACCTAGCAACTAAGAACAACATCCTAAGCAAAACAAATACATGGAAGGAAACTATTTCCTTAAGCAGGTGATATGATATGGAAATATGCTGTCCCAATAACCAATATTTCTTATTTATATATTGAATCTGAATACATTATAATAAAAGCACTGCATGCCACCTTCCATTCTTCCTTCACACTGAGTTTAAGACTGGTCTATGCTGATAACTGCCCAGCAACTGCCTTCACTCTAAGTCATCTGAAGCTACCTGCATTCTCCCAAGTGCTGCATGGAAATCACTTCTGCTGCATTAATCATATCAATTGCTATACCTTTACATGTCCTTTGCAAGCACAAAGTATGAAATAGTTAATCCTTAAATTAAAAGAAGTTAATCCTTCAAGACCACAAAAAAAGAACTAAGTTCTTTTTATCACACCTGTTCCCAAGAAAGAGGAATCCCTTGCCCTCAGTTGAGTTAAGCAATACTTAAATCAGGAGAAAACCAATTCTGGTCCTGGTGATCATGCAGGATCACAGTATTTTCTATTTACAATCACTACAAAATAAATTGAAGTAACAGATTGAGCAAAGAAAGAAGTTGTGACTGGGAAAACTATAGAATATTTTAAGTAGGAATAGCAATACTTAACCTGAACTACAGAAGAAGGCTTCTTCAAAGAGGAAGTAAAAACATGGCATAACAGCAACTTTAAGACGCTTCCAAAAGTGCTTCAGCAATAGCATTGCACAATTAGTATCAGTGGTATTGAACTTTTAAATGTTTTTTCTTTACTCAGAAAAATTAATACGTGTTTGTCTCTGAACTCAAAGCTGTGGTCAACATGAGTCAGCACAGTGTAGGCACCCCAAAGAGTAATACAGTTTTGCTTCTGTCTCTCTCTCCCCAACTTCCACCCAGTGGTAGTTTTGAATCTGCGTTAACATAAAGCCAACTAGCTTGAACTCGTGCTCTTGAACTCTCTTGCTGCAACTGCAGCAAATCCCCTTGACTTCCTGCTACGCCAACAAATCAGCCAGGGTGCTATTGCTACCACCCCAAGATCTGTTCCTAATGACTGGTAAAACCATTCTTATGGCACAGAAAGCTCTTGAGGAACAAAAGAGAATGGACATTAACAATGTTAATAATAACTCTAAAAGAAGACTTTAAATGCATCAGGGTTACCTCTAAATCTGTCTGTCAATTAACATAATTAGCTTTTCTAGCTGATAGCCTGAGTAATGTTGGGATCAATCTATTAGTACCACTTTGCAGAAAAGCCATTTGTCTTCTCTAATTCAACGTTACAGTATTCCTAACAAACTATTAGCTATATTTAAATGATCTTTAATGTCTTTTTTTACATAGATTTACTGAAACAAGCAATTTTAATCTTAAACTCTTGCCTATTGTGATTTTTTTTTTCTCAGAAAAATATTTTATTTAAACAACTAATGGCCGATTCATGAGATAGATATTACTTGTCAAGTTACTTATGTTGACCTTGGACATATTTCAAAAAGTTATGGTCATTCCCTGACAAAGTGGATTCCTTATATGACATCAAATGACTTTTATGAATCCTTGAATTATGCAACATCAGACTGATGTCACAACATGGTAGCTATCTCTTCCAGGGACCATGTTAATATTTAATAAAACAATTTGTGTGCCTGAGGATCAAAAACGGTGTTAAATGTGCAAATAAATACTAAACAAGTATTTTGTATCAAACATTTATGCAAAGATAAACAATTGTTACACTGTAAAATTGTCAGTTCCATTTACAGTACATCAACTAGGTTACAATACATGAGAGACTAAAGAAAACAAAGAGAGTTTAACTACAGTCTTAAAACTGATATACACTGTAGATATTTCCCCATAAAAACTTCAAATGCTCTGTTCATTTCATTGCTCACAACTAGCTAACTTACATCTCTTAGCAAAATAAACACATACCTTTTATTTAGCATGGCCTACCTTGTTACGGAATTAATAATCAAAC